GATGCACAGCCGGGAGCCAGGAGCTTCCTCTGGGTCTCCCATGTGGGTGCAGGGGCCCAAGCACTCGGGCCAACCTCTACTGCCTTCCCACGGCCTGTGTTTTATAAGGGGCTTTGATGAGTGTGACTCACAGCCCACACTTTGAACATGGGACCTCAGCAAGGGTAGGGAGAGCCGTGCGACGCCCTCCACGGATCCTGAGGGGCACAGCCCCTTGTGCCGCCCCCCAGCCCCGTGTTGGGCAGTGTGCTGCAGGGGGTGCCCAGCGCCCCAGGAGGCAGGGATTGCCAACAATGCATGGCGTGGGGGCGGGTGTGGGAGGGGCATCAGCACCCCATATGGCTGACTGTGAGAGGGACCGGGACAGGACACTGCTGGAGAACTGCACTGTGCCTGTGAGGGTCCCTTGGGAAACATCACTGCTATATGCATTTCTGCTCCAGAAACCTGAGCACCCATGATGCGGCAGGTGCTTTTAACTTGAATATCATCAAAGCAACGCTGGAAATGGCTGGTGCTCCCATTTAACAGATGAGAACATCGAGGTCTGGAGAAGTCCCGTGACTAGCCCAAACAGGTTTCACAGTCTGGACTGACAGCCATGAACTCGGCTTAGCACTGCCCAGCTGGTGTGGTAAGAACGAAGGGTGTATAACCCCAGGTCTCATTTCTAGGTGCAGTTGTAGAATCAGCGAACTCTTGCCCCAGCGTTTTCTTCCCACCGAAACCCCAGCTCTGCCTCCCAAGGTCTGGTCCAGAGGCCGGGTCCTCCACACCGCCTTCCCAGAGTCCCCTGCCTTCTTCCGGGCTCCGCCAGCAGGTGGTTTGTGTCTCCATCCAATGCCAATGTCATCCTAACGTGAGTCACAGGGAAGCTTTTCTGTCTCTGCTTCCTCATTTGGGTCTTGCTGGTCCTCCTGATCACATCTCAGAGGGCAAATCGGAGGTGCCCACGAGTGAAGTGAACCCAGCCGTTGGCTCACCTCATCCGGGGCTTATCTCTCCGCTTCTTTTTATGCCAGGACCCGCGTACCCAGGGAGGAGGAGACGAAGCAATACCTGGTTTAAGGAGATCAGAAGGTGCCCTTAGACCTACAAGGCTGCCTAGAGGTGGGGGTGCTGTTGGGGACTTCACTGTTCGTCCTCTAAGACGTTGGCCTGTGGGCTGGCGTTCCTGCCTCTGGATGGTTCTATGTGACTGGGGGCAGGGCCACCAGGGTGGGCTTTCCGGGAGCCACTGTACTCCAGTGCTCCTCAGGGACTTCCTAGGACAGGGGACAAGAGGGGCAGATCCAGGGGGAACGTGAGAGGGATGTGCGGGCTCCTGGGCAGCTGTCCCCATGGGGTGGGGTGGGGGGAGTCAGGCGCCCTCCCCCAAGTTGGGTGGCGCCTCCTCCATCCGCATCTCAATTGCAGAGTTTTTCCCTCGGCAGCCACTGTGCCAAGTTTATGATAAGACTGATTTGTGTGCCGTGGTTCTCTTTTCCATGTTGGGAAAACTCAGATATTCCAGGCAGATTGGTCAGCAGCTTTTCCCCTCAGCCAGAGGGGAGGCTCCAAGCCGCAGCCACTTAGCTTCCAGCACTGGGCCAGCTCTGCGCCCGTCACGGTGGCCGGAGGCCGGGGACAGGAGATGACAGAGGGGCGCGGGCAGACTGACCTGGATGACCTCACACGGGCTCTCCCTGCCCCTCCTAGCTCACTCCACCCTGCCGGTTCTTCCTTGTCTGTCTGCGGCTATCATCCCTGCCCCCTCCCCCAGTCTTGCCCTTTCCTCTCCCTCCTCCCTCCCCCCTCCTCTCTGGTGAAGGGCTGGAAGGGAGGACCCATGCCGCTCCCAGCACAGTAATTCTGAGCTTCTGAGGAAAATAAACTGAAGCCACTTGGGGTCCTTAACACCTCCCATGGGGGTTGCCTGATGAAGGATCCTTTGTGGAACTGGAGGGAGAGGAAGCCCAGGAGTCCACTCTTTGCAACATCACAGAGCGGTCTGGAAGGGATCCCCAGTGGCCAGCTGAGCAAGGCTTTGAGCCCTGTGGCAGGGAGGGTGGCCAGGCTGCTGTGGAGACCCAGCCTGTCCTCCCCTGGGGTCCCGTGGCCTCAGCTGTATGGGAGGTGCTGGCGTGGGGGCGCCTGGTCCTCCTGCTCCTGCTGCCTTATGCTGGGCCACTCACGTGTCCCCTGCAGGATATTTGCAGCCTCTGACTCAATGTCCCCAAACTTCAGCTTATGTGGGAGTCACCAGGGAAGCAGATTCCTGGGCCACACCCTCCCGGATGGGATTTGAGATCTGGGAGAGCTGGGTGGAGTCCCAGAGTCTGTGTTCTGAACCAGGACGAGGGAGAGGAAACTGGGAATTCTGGGGGATTAACACACGTCGAGCCAGCAGCACAGGGCACGGGACAGCTGTCTGTACGTCCAGTCCCGGGGAGCTGGCCCTGACCCCTGGCCCTTCAGCAAGGGCCCCTGACCCGAGCTGGCCTGTCTCACTGGAATCTCAAAGCCATGAGGACACTTCCTGGATATTTGCCACAGATCCAAGCTCGCCTGGGCCCACCTGAGATAAGAACTTCCCATGTCGGAGCCGGCGCCATGGCTCACTTGGTTAATCCTCTGCCTGTGGCGCCGGCATCCCATATGGGTGCTGGGTTCTAGTTCCGGTTGCTCCTCTTCCAGTCCAGCTCTCTGCTGTGGCCTGGGAGGGCAGGGGAGGATGGCCCAAGTGCTTGGGCCCTGCACCCACATGGGAGACCAGGGAGAAGCTCCTGGCTCCTGACTTTTTTTTTTTTTTTTTTTTTGACAGGCAGAGTGGACAGTGAGAGAGAGAGAGAGAGAGAGAGAGAGAAAGGTCTTCCTTTGCCATTGGTTCACCCTCCAATAGCCGCCGCGGCTGGCACGCTGCAGCCGGCGCACCATGCTGATCAAATGGCAGGAGCAAGGTACTTCTCCTGGTCTCCCATGGGGTGCAGGGCCCAAGCACTTGGGCCATCCTCCACTGCACTCCCTGGCCACAGCAGAGAGCTGGCCTGGAAGAGGGGCAACCAGGATAGAATCCGGCACCCCGACTGGGACTAGAACCCAGTGTGCCGGCGCCACAAGGCGGAGGATTAGCCTATTGAGCCACAGAGCTGGCTATGGCTCCTGGCTTTCGATCGGCACAGCGCCAGCCGTAGCGCCCATTTGGGGAGTGAACCAACGGAAGGAAGACCTTTCTCTCTGTCTCTCTCTCACTCACTGTCTATAACTCCACCTGTCAAATAAAAAAATGAGAAGAACTTCCCATGTCACTGCCCACCCTGCACAGGGGCCTCATGGCCAAGTGTAGGAGGCAGGGGAGGGCGTGCCAAACACCAGCACTGTGTACCAGGCACTTTATAGAAATATCTCGTCTCTTCCTACCTGTCGCTTGCCACCATCCACACAGGCACCTTTAAAATACTGATTGGATGTGACTGAAACCTGGCTATGGTTCCAAGTTCTTGAATGTGGCTTGGGAGCACCCTTGGGAGCTGTCTCCTCCCTTCCCACTGCACCTGTGCCCCCCCCCCCCCAGCATCCTTGCCAGTAGCAGAGGAATGTGGTAGCTCCTACCTCCTGTGCTAGCTCCTCCCACTGTGGGGATGCCTTCCTGCCAAGGCTCCACCTGGGTCCCCTGCCCCGGGGTCGGTCCTTGACACCTTCCCCTGTGATGAGAGTGACTGCATCCTACATTTGAGTTGTGCGTTCCTACCTCAGCACCTGCCGCATGAGATGGAAACAGCTGTGGGCACAGCTGCCTGCCCCCACGGTGGGGGCTCCCCAGGTGACGCGGTCACACTGCAGTCCCAGCACCTGGCACGCACCTGGTAGCCACAAGGTGCTCGGTTCCCATCTGATGACCTGACCGGCTTGCTTCACTTCAAGTGCCGTGATGTTAGGAGTCACTAGAGTGGCGGAGTCTTTGAACACCTGAGGATCGTACAGGTTGCCCTGGACCTCGGCCCGGTTCCTCCTCCTCTGTTGGGACACGACCCGAAGCTCCATGGAGCACGGAGCAGGGAAGGCACCTGCGGCAGCCCTGCCCAGCGTCGGAAGTGCTGAAGCCCGTGACACTGTCCCCTACAGCTCCTGTCCACAGGCGTTGGCCTGAGCCTCACACAGGTCCAGCCGGCCAGAAAGGACGCAGTGTCTGGGGACATCAAGGCAGCAGCTGCCCCCAGAGCCCTTGAACTTGACCTCATAGGCCTGAAACCCCCATTACACACTTGGCCTGGTGCAGCAGGCAGCTTGGAGCAACCCTCCCCTGGGCCTTTGGATGGCGTGGGGGCGCTCGTCTCCTCTGGGAGCCAGGGGGCTGGGGAGGCAGCTTGGGGGGATGTCAGCCTCTAGCACTCAGCTTTCCTCACTCCGGCCCTGCATAGCCTCAGAGGACTCAGGGACCCCCAAGGATGGGCAGGAAAGATGGGGTTCCTGGGGGTTAGGCACTATGCTGTCTTCACACTTCAAGGAGCGCCCCCGGGGCTCTGGCTCATCTTCCTCTCCCTGGGGGGCAGCGCAGCTCTGGTTTAAGGGGAGGGGAGGGCTGCAGGTGTTGTCAGGAGGGAGACCGTGTTTACGAATAGTCTGCCCAATTCTCCCCATGCAGCACAATAGCTTCTAGAAAAAGGAAAAAAAAAATATGGAACGCTTAAATCAGCCCTTAGCAGTGCTGAGAGCTAGTACTTAAGATGCGGCCTTGGTTCTGAACAGTGGTGGAAATGGAAAAACAGCAAACGCTTGGACGATGAGCTTGAGATACAGAAACAAACCAGGCCTCGCACACAGCATCCCTGCCGGCAGCAGGCAGGCCACTGGAGGGGAGCAGGCCAGCACTCCCAGCAGGAGCCCACCTTCCCCGGGCTCCTCCTCCAAGGAGGGTGCCCCTGTGCGGGCAAGGCAGGGTCAGCACTTCTCACAGCTGCCCCCTGCCCGCCTTGGGGGCACGGCTGAGGGCCCATCCTGCCTCTCAGTCACAGCCCAGAAACGGAAAACAAGGCCACGTTTATTCCACGTCCCCTCAGGCCACCTGCTGACACCGGCTCTCCGCACCCAGGAGCAGGCGGGGCTTCCAGGCAGAGGGCACCTGGTGTCAGTCGCCCATTTTCACAGATGTAGGCCCAGCCTGACCAAGAGCAGAGTGGGAGGAGGCTCTGCTGCCTGTGGCCGGGTGTGGAGACCCCAAGGACCCCAGGAGAGGCAAGGGTCACGTTCAACGTGAAGCACACGGAGGGTCAGCCGGGTGACTCACACCCTGGTCTCTGGCTCTCTGGGGAGCACAGCTTTGTAAACCAGTCAGCGGGGGTGGGAGGACAGGGCCTGGGAGAGCCTCTTCTTCCCATGGCTCAGCCAGGTTCCGCCCTCCAGGCCTGGCGATGGCGAAGCAGCAGGTGCACCTGAGTGAGGCATCAAGTCAGCCCAGGCAGTGGCTGCCGTGCTGTCTCCTGGGGGTCCCGACAGAGACGGCCAGTGCAGCCTCCCAGGTGACAGGCAGCAGAAGGTAATGCTGGCACATCTCCCAGCCAGTGGCCAGGAGGGAGGTAGGCTGATGAGACGGGACCAGTCTCGCTCTGGGCTGCGTCCCACAGTGCAGTGGAGCTGGGTGCGAGTGACGCTCACGGCTCCCCATTGAGCTCAGGCATCAGGCACAGATGTGACCTTACCCAACCTGTAAGGGAGGAGCCAGGTTAGCTCTGCCCACCTGCTGCAGCCCTCACCCCTGGGCCCAGCCCAACCAACTTCCAGGGCCCTCAGCTGTTCAAGTGCTCAGCTCACCCACAGGGACCCACCCTCGGGGTCTCACCCCGGCCTGCTCGGGAGAATCACATGGGAGCTTGTGAAGCCCCTGCCCCAGGCCACCCCCAGGGTCCCTGGTGACTCCAGCACGCAGAGTCAGCAGGAGGGAGAAGGAGATCAGATGGCCCCACTTGGCTCCTTGGCTACAGCTCTAAAGAAGGAAGTGAAAATTCACGTAAATTAACTTTGGAGCCGTCTGTAAATAGACCACATATCACAGCAAGCAAAATTTATGTTGGCATTAAAATTAGAACTTCCTGCCCCCGCAGGGCCGTGTGGGAGGCCTGGCCAAGAAGCTATCTTTATGGGGGTTGAAGAGGGTGGACTCTCCCCTCGCTGGAATGGGACAGGGAGGCGACAGCTTGTGATCGGGGGACCCTCAGGATCTCAGAGGACAAACCAGGAGCCCAGTGCTGGTGTCCCAGACTGGCGTGACCTCTGGGGACAATGGCGTGCTTCCCTCCACCCCTCCCCCCGGTGCCTTGAATGTATCATCCTATCTAATTCCTGTGCTGACACCAGGAGCTAGGGATTACTACCCCTGCTGACAGGCGATGCGCGGAAGCTCAGAGCAGAGCGCATCTCCGGGGAGTCAGGCTGCTCCTGAGAGCAGTCAGGACTCAGATCCTGCTGGACGCTGGCTGCCAGCCCACTGCTTCCCAGATGGGCAGAGGGCAGAGGCCAGCATGGCGTGGAGGGATTGAAACAGGCCCGCTGACCTGCAGGGCGAGCAGGGACCGCCCCGCATCCCGAGATGATCCCTTCAGTGGTAAATGCGCCGTGGGGCAGGGGTGTGGCCTAGCAGCTAAGACACTGCTTGGGAGGCACGTCCCTAGCAGAGTGCCCGGGAGTGAATCCTGGCGCTGTTCCTGACTCCAGCTTCCTGCTAACGTGCACCCTGGGAGGCAGCAGGTGACGGCTCAAGTACTCGAGGTCCTGCCTCCTGTGTGGGAGACCCGGAGGGGGTTCCCAGCTCCTGGCTTCAGCCTGGCCCAGCCCCATCTGTTGTGGGCATCTGCGAGACCCTCATATGAGGGTCCTCTCTCTCTCTGCCTTTTAAACACACAAAATAAACAAATTGTTAAAAGATGGGCTTTGTTGCGGGCCTCCCAGCTGGCCAGCTTTCCCCCCTTTCAAGAGGGTTCTCTCAGTTAAATGAGGAGCTGCTAACTGTGCTCTTCTGGTTATCTTTTGCGACTCTGAGCGGTGCAGGTGCAGGGTCCCCAGTCCCCGCGGAGCCAGCCCACCACACCAATCCCCGGCCTCCGCCCCGGCTCTGTTAGCTCTGTTAGACTGTGTGCAGGCAGAGCCTGCCAGCCACCAGGCTGGTGAGGCCCCACTGCCATGGGGCTGTGTGGAGGAGCACAGGTGCTGTCCAGCCCAGGGCCGGACGAGGCCTCCCACGGTCTCCCTGGGACCAGCTCCAGCCCAGCCCAGCCCTTACCGTTCGATGATGCGATTGTTGTCCTGGAGGTCAAAGGCCACCAGCTTCATCTCACGGCACAGTTCTTGCATGCTGTCCACACACAGGCCACACAGTGGCTGAGGCTCCAGTGGCACCACCCCAGCTCCTTCCCCGGGGGCCTCCCCAACCCCGACTCAGGCCTGGCCCCGGGCCCTAACCCCAGCCTCTGCCCTCCCGCGCTGCCTCCCCTGAACTCACTGGAGGGCCAGGTCTTGGGGTGCAGGAGGAGCCGTGGAGGGTGGCAAGGCCTGGGCGCCCTTGGCTTTATCCTGCAGGAGTTGGTCCAGGATCTACAGGGAAGGCACGCGTGGGTCAGGGGCTGGGCCAGCTCCTGCGTGGCCGGCTTGGGGACACACTGAGGAAGGGTCCCCCAGCCTGGGTCCCTGGAGCGCCTGCTCGCCAGCCTTTCCTAGCACCCTTCCTGCCATGGTGGTGGTGGGGGGTGTAGCTGGCATAGCACCATTGCTCCTCTACGCTTGCATGGAATGACCCCAGCAGCCAGTTCTCCTGTGAGTCTACCCTAGCCCTCTGGTGACACAACACGGGCCAGGAGCTGCAGAGTAGGGACAGGACCTCCCCCCAGCCTCGGGAAGCAGGGCGCTGCTGTGTGGGCTGTTGGCAGGGAGGCGAGAGGCAGCCACGCCCTTCTCCCTCCCGGCTTCTCAGAGCTGCTCGTGTGTTCTCTTCGCAGAGAGCAGACCACGAGGCCAAGGGCAGCTCCTATCACCCTCTCAGGAGTGGCCTGAGCCCACAGGACGGCGAGGAAGATGTCCCAGCTTCCCGCGGCCTCTGTCCCTTGCTGTGACCATCACTCCGAGGTCCTCCCACCAGGTACCTCCTCAGACCCCACCTCAGGGCTCACTGGCGGCTCAGAGGCCTCTAACCCAAGCCAGACTCCCTCCAGGAAGCTCTGCCCAGAGGCAGGGGGCGGCCCCAGGGCCCTCCCCGGGGTATCCCGGGCCATCTGCCCCCGGTCGCACCTTGCTGAGGCTCTCCTGGGCACCCTGGGCCTCCGTGTTACAGGCAGCCACGGAACAGCCGACCAGGCGCAGGTGGTTCCTGGTCTTGTGCACCTCCCTACAGGCGGCAGGTGAAGAACAGAATTAGAACAGGACTCCTGGGGGACCACACAGTCACCAATGTGTCCCGGGCGTGGGCCTGCCCCGCTGCCTCTGCCCTGCTGGGGTGGCCTCTCCCTCACCCACCTCCCGCCTCCCAGCCCCCGCCCCCCCTACCCACCATGGTGACTGTGCAGGGGGCACTTCTGACGGAGGTGGGGGGGCCATCAGGACCCAGCTGCATGGCTGGGGCTGGGCCGCATGTGTGGCTAGGGGAGGCTCCAGGCGGGCAGGTGACCGCTCACGCCTGGTACCTGAGAAGGGAACCGCCCACGCTCCCACTCCTAGAACAGATCCAGCTCAGGGCTCTCAGCAAATCCTCTGCTCTCTCAAAGGCCCTTTCCCCACGGTGCGGGCAGGAAGCCAGGCCCAGGGCCACGGCATCGCCCGGAGGCAGGGAGAGTATATTATTGCTGTTTTTTTTTTTTTTTTTTTACAGGCAGAGTGGACAGTGAGAGACAGAGACAGAGACAGAGAGAAAGGTCTTCCTTTGCCATTGGTTCACCCTCCAATGGCCGCCGCGGCCGGCGCTCTGCGGCCAGCGCACTGCGCTGATCTGAAGGCAGGAGCCAGGTGCTTCTCCTGGTCTCCCATGGGGTGCAGGGCCCAAGCACTTGGGCCATCCTCCACTGCACTCCCTGGCCACAGCAGAGAGCTGGCCTGGAAGAGGGGCAACCGGGACAGAATCCGGCACCCCGACCGGGACTAGAACCCGGTGTGCCGGCACCACTAGGTGGAGGATTAGCCTAGTGAGGCGCGGCGCCGGCCCCTGGAAGAGGTTTTACGTTCCCACTGTCCCAGCCTCCCGCAGGCCGACAGAATCAGATTCGGGGTGGGGTGCGGGAGGGGGCCTGTCTGGGAGGCGAAACCCTCGCACCCTGCAGGGCCAAGGCGAGAGGACCACTGCCTGCCCCGCCTCCCTGCGCACGCAGAAGCCCACAGCTCCGGGCCTCCTTCCCCAGGGAGGCAGCCAAGCCTGCAGCCGAGCCTGGCTCTGCTGACCGGCTGGGAGATGTTGGGGAAGAGACCATGTGAGCCTGTTTGCTCACCTGGGAGAGGGGCGATAGTGTCCACCACATACATTATGCACCACGGGATTTAATAGGCTAATGTGTGGCAATCCCCCAGCACACTGCCTGGCCCACCCAGGTACCCAGCCGCCCATCCCCCCAACCTTCTCTGGGATGCCCGGAGGGGCCAGGCCTGGCCCTGGGGTGCGTGCGCCCAGGAGGGAGGCCGCGCCGTTACCTCATCCACTTGCCGTGCGCGACGAGGGACGCCTGGTACTTGTGCATGCACTCCTCCTGAAACACCTGCAGCAGCCTCTTGGCCAAGTGGCTGAAATTCACCCTGCACAGACGGAGACGCCGGGCGCCCACGTGAGCAACTGGAGCCGCTGTGCACGTGCCTAGCGCCCCCTCGTGGCCGTGGTCACCTTGCCACAGTGCCCAATCGCGGGATCACAGCAGGCATGTGTCTCCAAGGCAGGAGGAGGTGACAGTCACACGCTGGGATCATGAAAGGCCAGACGTGGGAGGGGCCACGGCCCTCAGCGGACGCCCACTCTCACCAGCTTTGTCTCCAGAGGAACAGGGAGATGGTTATGGAAAGGGCGTGGGGGGAGTGCAACTGGGGGGGCAGTCTAAATCGCCATTATATTGGGGAGGGCTCCCGGGGCCATCAGAGCTCCCAGGACCAGAGCCAATGCGGGCAGAGGTCAGAGGCAGGAAGAGAGGTGGGAGACCAGTGAGGACGGCCAGAGAAGCAATGCCAGTCACATGCAGACTGCTTCCCATACTCCCCTCCTCCCCCCGCTGCAGCCCCGCTCCCTCCTGGGGTCTAACCAGAGAGCTACTCTGCCCAGGGACCGCCCACCTGCCCACCAGCAAACAGGTCACTCACTTGTCCAGCTTGTGGATCTGCTCCTCGTTATAGCCAAGCCCTAGGAGGAGACAAATGGGCATGATGTCCACGAAGCAGAGCGGCCGCAGGGTTGGGGACAGCGACGGAGGTGATGCCAGCCCGGCCTGGCCCTGCGGCACCCCAGTAGCTCATTACGACTTGATATGATGTGATGAGTGTCGCCAAGTACCCTGTCACGATTCAGGGGTCTAAAGAGGCTTCGGCCGGGAGTGGAAGACGTGGGCCTTGGAGCATGGTGCTCAGCCGCAGCCCCCACCCAGCCCCTGCCCAGAGTGACGTGGCCAGCAGCCGCTGGGCTCCTTCCAAACCTCCACTCTCAGCTCTTGCAGCCACGACCCGGAGAAGCCAGGCCACTGCCTTCTACTGTTCCCTCTCCACCAGCCCAGTCTTCCGTCTCAGCCGCCTCCCAAGGCCCTCAGGCTCCTGCATCTCCTGCACGTGGAGATGCTGCCCCCTCCTGGGCTCCGAGGGAACAGCAGGGAATAGGTTGCAGCAGCCCCCACAGGCAGTGAAGTAGGTTTGCTCTCTTCAGTCCGCTCCCCTAAGAATGCCCTTCCTGGTCTGGTATTCAGCCAGCTGTGAGCACTTACACAGCCCAAGGGATCTGCATAAGGGACCCCGGCCTCCTCCGTAAGCAGCGGCTTCAGTGAGCCCGTTGCCACGCGCACCATGTGGACCCCACAGGCTTCCCGCGAGGGCCGCGGGCGGGTGCCCTGAGCGCCGCAGGGCCTGCTCCAGCAGCAGCAGTTATGGTTTGTTCTAGAGGCCAATTGAGAGGCAGCTCCTCGGAGCCTGCGAGCCTGGTGGCTGACAGCGGGGTCTGACGAGAGTGCTCGGGCGGCCCAGCTTGCTCTTTTACAAAAGGGCGGGCATGGCCCCTGGAGTCCCCGAGCATCAGGGCTCTCAGGACAGCACAAGGGAGGGGGTGGGAGCTGATTAATTTACATCCAAACACCAAAGCAGGTGCACTCTCCTCATCAGCACTGCCTTATTGTTCTGTGACAATGACAGTTTCCTCTGTTCCAAGTTTAGCTTCCAGACACAGACGTGCCTTAAGTGTAAGATACGCATGCGCTTTGGAAAACAGCACAAAAATGGAACAGAAATATCTCTTTAGTAATTTGGTCTGTATTGGTTATGCACTTCAATGATAGTTTGATATATCTGTTGAACACAATGTATCATTAAAAATAATTCTACCTGCTTCTTCCCGCTTTCTAACAGTGGGCCACGAGAACTGCCCATGGACCCACGTGGCTGGGTCAGTGTCCTAGGGACCGTGCTGTTTCTGTGGCCCCAAGAACAGAGGAGACCTGGCCAGTGAACCCCAGGACCTCAGGCTGCAGGGGAGGAAACGTTTGGGGCATGGAGGTGAGAGAAGGGTGGGGTCCAGGAGCACACTGGGGCTTCCTCAGGCTCCCCTGACCCCTGCCGCCAGCCCTGCCCCCATGGCATCACCTGGGACAGGAAGCCCCGTCCCCCCAGCCTGCCTCCCATGAGGATTAGTAGGCAACCCAGGCGGGCTGCCTGGCCCAGGGGGCTCTAGATGAGATTTCCATCCCCCTTCTCTGAGTGCCCCAAAGAAACAAGGGTAGGGACTGCCCAGGCTGCAGAGGGAAGGCAGCAGGAAGGGAGCACCTGAGTCTTCACCACCCCCTCCCGCCCCCGCTCACCTGGGCTCATCCGAGACTTCTTGAACTGTTTGTAGATGAGGTTCATCTTGTCCAGACAACACTGGATCTGCTGGGTGCTGCGGGCAGAAACCAGGGGATCAAAGCAGAGAGCAGAGGGCAGGGCAGGGGAGGGGAGGGCAGGGCAGGGGAGGGGAGGGAAGGAGAGGGCAGGGGAGGGCAGGGGAGGGCAGGGCAGGGGAGGGGAGAGGAGGACAGGGCAGGGGAGGGAGAGGAGGGCAGGGCAGGGGAGGGAAGGAGAGGGGAGGGGAGGGCAGAGTAGGGTAGGGTAGGGTAGGGTAGGGCAGGGCAGGGCAGAGGAGTGGAGGGCAGGGGAGAGGAAGGGAGGAGAGGCGAGGGGAGGGGAGGGGAGGGGAGGGCAGAGGGAGCTGGTCCCGGGGCAGGGAGGTCCCTCTCGAGGGTGCTCTGTCGAGGGCCTGCAGGCCCGGGTTGAAGGTCATTAGCGTCTCTTCCTTCCCCCTTTAAGCTGGACCCACACCCTTCCAGGTGTCGGCAGTGTGTGCGTGTGTGTGCGTGTGTGTGGGAGGGTGGAGGCCTAGAGAACTCCAGCTCAGCGGTTTGTGGAGCTGGACTCCGGGCAGGGCACGCTCTTGTCCACCAGGGCTCTGCCAGCCCTCAGGAACCTGCCCCCCCCCACAGTGCCCCGAGCGTGGGGGCGGAAAAGGAGGTGGCTGGGCTCGGAGCTCGGAGCCCCAGTCTTTAGCCGAAAGGCTCAGGGGCAAATGTGTTCTGAATTCAGAGCTGACTTCTGGCTCCAAGGAGGTAACTCAGGGCATGGGCAGGCACGGTGGGGGCCTGGTAGGGTGTGGGGCAGCGCCCAGCGCCCGCTACTCAAACGCTGCCTCCAGAGAACCCGGGAACGCGCAGCCCAGTGGGATCCACGGACTCTCCCGAGCCTGCCTGTGGCCAGGAGAGCTAAGAGAGGATTGGGCGCTTTCGAAGGCCTTTGGCATGTAGAGCCGAGGGCACGGGCTGCCCGCTGACCAGGCCCTGACGGCAGAGGCGCCGAGGAGGGGGCTCTCTCTGGAGTGCCACCTGCCACCCCCCTCCATGCAGCCGCAGCCCGTGGGGCGGGTGGCTTTTTTGTTTGTTAAAAGACAAAATGGGTGTTAAATGGGTGTTACACGCTGCAACCCCAGCCTGGTGGCCACCAAGACAGCTCTGTCACTTGTCACTTCCTAGCCATGCCTCGGAGCAAGCCACCCTCCTGTGGGAGCTTCCCGTCCCAAGCCCAGTGTTACGGCAGCTTATCATCACCATCATCATCACCATCATCATCATCGCTATCTCCAGGAGCCCGTGAGATGCCAGACGGCAGAGAAGCCACCCGAGAGAACAGAATTATTCTCTTCCTTGGAGTTATTGCGCCCGCTGATGTCCCTAACGTGTTCTTCCACCTCCCAGATGGGCGCAGGAGCCCGGAGCCTCTCTCCCTGTGGCTGGTCTCGGGTGGGTCTTCCCAGCTCCCCAGCCTCCAGCCCTCGCCCGCGCCCCAGCCCTTGCTGGGAGAGAGCAGGCTGACTCCTCCAAAGGCTCGCGGGCCTTCCGGCCGCCCACTCCCCACCGCCAGCCCACGAAGAAGGAACATCCCACAGACCTTCTGTCCGCATGTACCTGAGCCCGCCTCTTCGCCAGCTCCGCGCCCAGCCTGCTCAGGCCCGCCTGGGTCTCCGTGATATTTTGGGAACATCTGGAGAGGACCTCGGCCAGCTGTGGAGCCCAGAGGCAGCCCCCGTGGGGCGCTCAGCTGCGGGCTCAAGCCGGCTGCCGGCCCGCCCCGCCCCGCCCCGCCCCCGGCCCCACTCACAGTCCGCAGCCTGGACCTCAGCTCCGTGGCCCCCTGCAGCTCCTGCAGCGTGGGCATCTCAGTCGCGCTGTCCGGCCTCGAGGGAGGGAAGGAGAAAGCCGCATTGGGGTGCGCGGCGGGGCGGGGAGATGCAGGGAGCCCCCAGAGGGCACACTGGCCGCGGCAGCCTGGCCGGCTTTGCCCCAGGCCTCCTGGGGTCAGTCCTGGCTGCCCTGACAGCTGCCAGAGAGGAGGAGCGGGGCGTAGGGACCACGGAGTGGCTGCTGTGCCAGGAGGCCCAGGTGCAGCCACAGGCCGCCTCACACCTGCCGCTCCGCCCACCCGCAGCTCAGAGTCCCCCGTGGGGAGCGCGCAGCTTCAGACCTTAGAAGCATCCAGGGAATGGGGTCGCAAGGCACTGGCGCTGCCAGCCCTCAGGGGCCGCCCAAGTGTCTCAGTTGGAAAACAAGGGTGCAGAATCCAGAGGTTGGGGTGGGGGTGTTACAGCGGCCTGAGGTGCCGGCCCCGGCCCACTGACCACGCCAGGCCTCTTTTGCTCCCCGCGCGCCCCCCATTCCTCCCTGGCGAGCGGCCATCAGCAGGCTCGCGCCGACCCTGACTTCGGAGTCCGAGTTCTCGGAGGAGACTTAGGGCGTGAATGGGAGGCAGCAGGCAGCCGACAGCAGGACCCGCCAGGGGGCGCTCTCCCCAGCCTGTGGCTTCCCTGGTCAAGAGCCCTCCACGGCTCCCTCATGGCCAGTTTCCTGGGGTCCAACTTCTCTGTAACCAAGACCGGCTCGTGGCCCTCTGCTCCCGGCGCCAGCCCCTCTGTCTCCGACTTCCTGTGGGGCACTGGGAGGTGACTGGCCTCAGTGGACGTCACAGCACCCCTTCTGTCCACCTGCTCGCAGCCCCTCTGTCTCTGCCCAGACCTCCTCACCCGGGGTGTGCTCCCTCCTTCTGGCCTTAAACACCTCTTCCTTCAGGAAGCCTTCTGTGGTGGTCCCTACCCATCTCCACTCTCCTAATCCAGCCATCCCGGTAGCCCTCATGTGCATGTGACACGAGCCCTATATATCCCCAGCAGCCTCTTCTGCGCCTGGGACAGGGCTCTGCTCGGGGTCATCGGCAGCTGCTGACTGATGCCATTTGAAGGTGCCACGAGGGGGACCCCATCCCTGCTCTCTGGAGGCCCCCCTTTCTCTTCCGGAACTCCCTGTCCCGTGGGTCTCTTCCCCGAGGTGAGGGCCGGGCCGGGGCTGTCAGGTGTGCAGTGGGGGCACAGGGTGGGGCGGGGCGGCACCCTCGCCCACCCCCCGCAGGTAGGTGAGGTGAGGTGCGTGGCCGGAAGCATGGGGTGAGGGGAGCGCCGAGGGGTCCCAGGCGGCCTGGGCGGGACACGCACCTCTCAGTGCCCAGGCTGCTGCTAAGGAAGAGGAGTGCGGTCCGTGTGACCTCCAGAGTCCGCCTGCACGTGGTCTGCAGCACCTCCCTGCCCAAGGGAGCCTGGGTCAGGGCCGCCTTGCCCAGGGGACCCAGGGTGCTGACCCTGACCCTGACCCAGGGCAGTGCGGAAGTGGCCCAGACGTCCGCCCCTCACCTCCCTCCCACCCCCCAGCCCTGCTGGGGACTCACACGACCCAGTACAGCCCGCGAAGCATCAGCTCCTGTGTGTGCAGCATGGCCCGTGCCAGGCGCAGGGCCTGGTAGCCGGCACCCAGCATGCCCTGAAACACACGGGTGGGCCTGTCCCTCCCCTCCTACCTCTGTCCACGCCGCCCCCGCCCCTGTGGGCCGCCCCTCACCTTGGCGGCATTGTAGTCTGCCTGCAGGTCCACTTTGGGGACGAACTTGGGGATGTCCAGGGCAGCTGCGGACAAAGACCCCGTCAGAGGGGCCTGCCCGTAAGGTCGAGGTCAACTCTGAGTTCATCTTCGCGCCTTCTCAGCTCACACTCACCCCACATTGCCAGTCTCCCAATGCAAGCGGCCCGGCTCCCGCCGAAACCCCCCCTTCCCAGCACGGAAGGCGCATCTTTACAGTTGTGGTCCCTCACTGCCACCTCGTGGACAACTTGGAGAACTACACGCTCGTGCCCAAGGCCCTGTCTCAACAGCCAGGAAACGGGACTCGAACCACCCTCTTGTCCACAGATTTTAAGGTTAATTCCCTAAATCCTCTTCCCTCTTCCTCTGAGAAGGAGGAGGTAGCGGGCATCATCCAACTGAGAAGCGATGATTTTTTTTTAGAACTTGGAGGGACGGTGAAGCTCCGCCCCCGGGCCTTTCCCCCTTTTCTCCCACCTGGCCCGGCCCGGAGTCTCCCCGCGGCAGCTGCAGCTGCTGTCACAGCTCTGAGGACACCTGCCCAAGCCCCACAGCGTCTCGGAGACACGTGCAGAATTAGAACCCAGACCTGCACCCACCGTGAAAAGCAACCAAGCCCCGGGCGGCCGTACTCACGGTCCCTGAAGGCCAGCCCCTTGGGGGTCTCGCTGGCCGCGCTGAACAGGGTCAGGGGGCTGCTGGCAGTCGTGTGCGCGATGTGCTGAGCCGAGACGCTGGGCTCCAGGACGCACGGGTGGCCCTCAAAGAAGTACTCCTGCTGCCGGGGGCCCACGCTGGTCTGCTCGCACACGGCCTCCAGGAAGACGGCCACCCTAGGCACAGAGGGCGCGGGCCGCGAGGTCGCTGGCGGAGCGGGAGGTGGGGGCGGCTCCGGGCGCCCAGACCCCGCAAGGAGGAGAGGGTTGCGCAGTTCGGAGGGAGGGGCTGGGGTGCTTCCTCTCTCCCCAAGGGTGGAGAGACAGAGGGCAGAGGTCACGGGCGCAGCCGAGGGGCGCTCTGCGCCCACACCCCGTGGGCACTCAGCGAGTCCCACCGCGGATGCTGGGGCTGGAGCCCTCGGTGGGTGCCAACTTCAGGCCACGCCCCTCGCGCATGCGCTTCTCGGAAGCACCAGCAAGAGCCCTGTGCCACTTGCCCTTGCGGGGTGGCCGTCTTCCCAAGTTAAGCTTGGCCCCGGGGAGCACACACGGAGCCCGCCTTCCCGCCCCGGCGGCCCACGTACGTGTTGTGGGCGTGGATGTAGACGTGGTGCAGCACGGCCTGGGACAGGGAGAAGACGTGCACGGTGACGCGCTGCAGGATGTCGCTTGTCTCGGCGAAGAACTGGTCGAAGCCCCAACACTTGGCCGGCTCCACCTCCAGGATGTTGGCCAGGATGGGCACCAGCTGGCCCTGCAGGCCCCTGCCCCCCGCACACGGGGCTTCAGCAGGAGGCGGGGGGCGGCAGAGAGCGCGCTGAGGAGCTAGCGCCCAGGTGGGGGGCGCACGGTGGGCTGGGGAGACATTGCTGGCAGAACTCTTGCCAGCTTCCAGGCGGGGAAACTGAGGCCACGAGGCAAAGGGTGCAGTAGCCAGCCTGCAGCACGCCTGGGCCGGCTGGGACAGCAGCAGAGAGAAGCGGTCGGCGCCTGCCTCGGGTCCCACTCACATGGACAGCCGGCAGGTGACCGGCAGGGCGTAGCTCCACTCCAGGGGCCCGTTCTCCCGCCGCTGAGTGCCCGCGATGGCCCCGGAGGGCTTCTCGGTGGTGATCCGGTACCTGGGGTGGAGCGTGAATTGCTGAGCAGAGCCCCAGGGCCCTGGCTCCAGCCTCCCGGCCCTGGGAGGTGGCCAGAAACGGGATTTGAGAGACACGTCGCCCGCTCGGCCCTCTGCGCCTGGTGAGAGCTCCCCACGGCCACACCCCATGGCCATGCAGCCGCCACCCACACCGGTGCCCAGGGCCAGCTTGGCCTGAGTCCCTCCTCCTCTTGACTTTCCTAATCTGTCCCTTCCAAGACCAGCCCCCTCTGCCACCCAAGCCAGGCCCCTCCCCTGCCCCAGGCTCCCCGCAGCTAAGCCCTAGCTGAGGGTGGGGGCGCAGGCCTTCCTATAATCCATCCGGGGTCTCCTGCTCTGGGGTTTAGGACCCTCGCATCCCACGCAGGAGTGCCGATTCGAGTCCCGGCCACTCCGCATCCCATCCAGCTCCCAGCTAACGCATCCGGGAGGCAGCAGATGACCGCTCAAGTGCCCGAGGCCCTGCCACCCACATGGTGGGACCGGGATGGAGTTCCCCGCTCCTGGCCCAGCCCTGGCTGTTGCCAGCATTTTGGGAGTGACCTAACGGCTGCAGGGGCTCTTTCTCCCTCTCTCTGTCTCTCCCCCTCTCCCATATACATATAAACAAGAGTGTGTCATCGGTCTCCCTGCACGCCCGGGCAGGGCTCAGCGTCTGTCCCTTGGCTGATGAACGGAGGACCAAGAGGATCCTAGGTCAGGGTGGATCCGAGGAGTGCCCGGGAGCGGCGGGGCACAGGAGCCACCGCAGGGCCGGGATGGCGGGCGTCTGCGCAGGACGGCCCGGCCCAGGCGCTGCCCTCCGCCCCCAACCCTGTCCCTGGTCCCCCTCCCCTCCGTCCCCTCCCCCATCCCCCTACATGATCTCCTTGTTGCGCCGCGGCCCGCCGTAGGGCACGAAGGGCAGACTGCCGGTGGCTGCGTGGTACAGGGTCACCCCGATGCTCCAGAGGTCCACGGTCACCCCGAACGCCTTTTGCTGGGGCTTGCGAAGCACCGCCCGCTCGTACATGTCCGGGTGCTGCCGAGAGAGAGAGGGCGCACGGGGGCCAGGCCTGAGCCCCAGCCCGGCCCGCAGGTGCCCGCCAGGACGGCACAGACCCGGCCTCACTCATCAGCTTAAACACGGGCGCACGTGCGCACGCGCGCCGGGGAGGGTCGCCGGGCAGCTCACCAGGTACTCCTCGGTGCCGTAGACCGAGACGAACTTCTCGTCGTCCAGCAGCTGGCGCGCGGCGCCGAAGTCCGTGAGCTTGTAGACGCTCTGGCCCTCGTGGCCCACCAGGCGCATGATGTTGCCCGGCTTGATGTCGCGGTGCACCACGCCGTTCTCCCGCAGGTGGTTCATGCCGGCCACTGCGCACACACGGGCGGGCGCCGCTAGCCGCCGTCCCGGGCCCCAGGGGCTGCCCCAAGCCTGCAGCCTCCCCGGGGTGGATTATTCAGGATCTCTCCGTGTAAGCGAGGTAAAGGGCATGCCGGGACATGTGTTGGCCATTTCTAAGCGCCCCGTCTCTAGAGCCTGCCCATCTTCCCAGCTGAAACTCCACCCCCTAGCAAGCAACACGCAGGCCCCTGCGCAGCCGCGTCCCGTCTCTGTGAATGGGGCTACTCCAGGAACCTCGTACGTGCGACATCCCACCACTGTGGCCCTCTGTGTGCCTTTTCAGGGCTGAGTAATATTCCGCTGCCTGTATAGACCACGCCTTGTCTGGACGCTCTCGGGCTGCCCCCGCCTGGGAGCCACTGGGAACCGTGTCTGCCCCAGGCCTCTGAACGCACAGGCAGGCGTCCAGTCGTTTCCCTCTGGGGCTTCCCCAGCGCCCAGGGCCTGGGCTGCCGCTGGCCTCAGCAGGGAGCCTGGGAGGGACTCACCCACACAGCGCAGAACGACCAGGAACTCGTCCTCCGACAGCCCGAAGGCGTTCTCCGGGCTCTCCAGCACACTCAGCAGGCTGCCCCCAGAGCAGTGCTCCATCACCAGCACCCTCTGCCGGCTGCCCCCCTGTGGGCGGTGCAGAGGTGGCTCAGCCCACCGCCACCAGCTCCCCATCTGCACACCCCGACTTCTGGCCCGGCCTCTCCTCCCTGATCCCACACCCTGCAATCCAGGGCTGTCGCTTCCAGGAAGCCCTCTCCGATTGGACACTGATCCCACCATTCCTTTCCTGTTCTGTCTGATGGAGGCTCCAGGCCAAGACCCACCGTCTCCTCCACCGCGAAGAGCTTGACGATGTTCTGGTGGTTCAACTTCCGCAGGACCTCAAACTCCCTCTCCTGCACCTCCCGGGGACGCAGGTAGCTGGCAGTGTTGAAGACCTTCACGGCCACCAGCTCCCCGGATTTCTGTGGGGACACAGGGCGAGGCCACAGCTGCCAGCCACCTCTCCAGGGACCCAGCCCAAGCCCAGAGAGGAGAGGGCAGCCTGTGGGGTGGGGGGGGGTGGAGGCATCCACCCTTGGCTCCTCCCCCAGCTCATGGTGGCATGGCGCAGTACGGGGAGGTGACAAGGGCTCGGCGCACCTGCTGTCCACCTATTGCCAGCACAGGGGCTGCCAACACGCCCTGCTGTGAGCCCTCCATGCCAGCACCGCCCCTGCCTCTGCGGGCCACGCCCCCCTGCCGGCATCTTTGGATCTTGCTCTGTGTTTTCACCTTTCTCTCTCTCTCTCTCATTCTCTCTCTCTCTCTCTCTCTTTTTTTTTTTTTTTTTTTTTTGACAGGCAGAGTGGACAGTGAGAGAGAGACAGAGAGAAAGGCCTTCCTTTGCTGTTGGTTCACCCTCCAATGGCCGCCGCGGCCAGCGCACCACGCTGATCCGAAGGCATGAGCCAGGTGCTTTTCCTGGTCTCCCATGGGGTTCAGGGCCCAAGCACTTGGGCCATCCTCTACTGCACTCCCTGGCCACAGCAGAGAGCTGGCCTGGAAGAGGGGCAACCGGGACAGAATCCGATGCCCTGACTGGGACTAGAACCCGGTGTGCCGGCGCCGCTAGGTGGAGGATTAGCCTAGTGAGCCGTGGCACCGGCCTCACCTTTCTCTTGTCCCAACTTGTGCCCAGCAGAGGAGTCATCCCCAGGAGCCCTTCTCCCCCCCACCCAAGGGTGCACGGGCCCCCGGCCCACCCCCTGCCGCCCTTGAGGCTTGCAGGGCCTGCCCCTCACCTTGTTGCGGGCCTTGTACACGCTGGCAGTGGCACCCTGCCCCAGCAGGTCATCCGTGTGCCACAGGTAGCTGGCCGTGCTCTGCATCTCCGGCCCCGAAAGACAGCCTGCGGGGAGCCCCGGAGTTCGTCCCTGAGCGGCAGCCAGGCCCCAGGGCCCAGAGGGGCTCCATGTGGTCTTTCCACGGGCAAGAGGCCGGGGAAGTGGAAAGCACAGAAAGGTTACGTAACTTCCCCAAAAAGCACAGCACAGCACTGCACGCAAGCCCTCAGCGAGAGCACAGGTGGCCTGGCTCTCCCTGCAGCCCCTCACCAGACAGACACACCTCTCCTCTCTGTCCCCTCTCCTGGGCAATGAGGATTCTGGGGGTTTGGTGTGCAGGCCTGGGGTTGTCCCAGGAAGTACCAATAGCGCAGGTGGAATGGCCCGGGTCAGCACACCACCCCGAATCTCCAGGATTGCAACACGAGCTGCACCAGGAGCCCCTACCCCACCCACCGGCCCGCCTGCAGGGCCCACACTTCCTGCTGCCGGGAGCTGACAGCCAGCTGGGCCAGCTCAGTGCTGCTCCAAAGAGGACAGGGCTGCAGGGGCAGGGGAGCTAGAGAGAGAGAGACACAGAGAGAGGGGAGGATCGGGAGGCCCGAGACCCTCAAACCCAAGGGCTCAGGAGCCCCTGGGGGGCCCCAAGACCCCTATCCTATCGCTGCTGCTGTCCTGTTCTCTCTAAAGGCCAGTTCCTCTAGAGCCTGGCGTCCAGAGTCAAGTTCAGTGGCTGTCTGAGGCCCGGCCAGGGTTGGCCTTTCTGAGATGTGCGGCAGAAGAAGTGTAAGGAGGCCGCTATCCCTAAAATACTTTTTTAAAAGAAGTTTGTTTGAGAGGCAGAGAGAAAGAGAGGGATAGAGACACTCAGGGAAACAGGCTGAGAGAGCTCTCCCCTCTGCTGGGTCACTCCCGGGATGCCCATGATGGCCAGGGGGCAAAGACGATCCCGGAGCCAGGAACCCCACCCAGGTCTCCCCCGAGCCTGGCAGGGACCCCGTCACGGGAGCATCACCCGCGTCCTCCGGCAAGGAGCTGGACTCGGGAGCCGGGAGCCAGGGTGGGGAGTCAAAGATGCTGGACACAGCAGCTTCATGTCCGGACCAGACACCGGCCACTTTTCCCTTCAATACGGTGGGGAAGGCTGGGCTGGGCTAGACGGGGCCTCTTCAAACTGCGGGCTGCCCTGCCTGCCCTGGGAGGATGCACTGGTGCCTACGGTGAGCTGGCCAGTCTTTCCTGGGGGCTGAGCGGGAGTAGCCATCGAGGCCAGAGCTGTGAGGCTGGGGCAGAACCTACTGGTACCAAAGCCAGGGGCCCAGCCTGGGGAGCCAGCAGGCAGCAGACTTTACCCCCTTCAGCAACCTCCCCAGGGCCAGCAAGGGACCTGGGGCCGGGCAGAGCAGAGCTGAACACCCAGGGTCGTGGGCAGTGTGGTGCAAAGGGCAGAGCCCGGGCCAGGGTGGCCAGTCCCTGGGTCTGTACGCTCTGCGACCACTCCCTGCCCCCACCCCTGCACCCGGCAGAGGGGCTGGGGAGCTGCCCGCCCACCCACCACCGCTCCTGGGGCTCCAGCGCGGCCAAACGCACTCACCGCACGCTCTGAGCTGGAGTCAGGCCCAGCCTCTCCCTGGCGAGCGTGTGTCCGGCTTCCTGTGTGCGGCGGCGAGCCCAGGAGCTGAGCTGCACCGGAAAGAGGAGGGCGGATGAGACGCAGCCTTGGGTGCTGTGTGATCTTTCAGTCTCCATCAAAGGCCACCAGCCTCAGCCCATTAACCCTTTCCTGTCGGTCACCTCCCCCACGGGGCGGGGGGGATGGGGGTGGTTTCCAGTCCTTTTCCCCAAGCGGTTCCGGGACCCTTTCCGGGCCACGCCCTCTCCTGGGACTCTGGCCAGGGAGCAGGGCCCCAGGGAGAGGTGAGGGCAGGCAGTCGGGGGCATCAGGCAGCGGAGCCTGGGAAGAGAGCCCTGTTGACCACGGGCAGCGCCCTAACCCGCGACCCTGCCAGCCTCAGGCCGGCTTCCCACGCGAGCACAGGACGCCACGGCCCTGCGCGCGGCCCTGGCCTGGCCGCCCCTCCCCCGCGCAGCAGCCCACTCACCCCATCTCCTGCCTCAGCGGGCGGCAGGAGGGGAGTGCGGGCTTGCGGGAGGGGAGCGCGGCGCCCCGGGCTCTCGGGGCTCCCTGTCACTCACTGGCAGCTCCACAGCATCCTGGGCCCAGAGGCAGCGCCCGATGAAGCGGCCCGGTGGCGCCCCAGGAGCGGGGGCTGTGGGGTTTCCGCGGGACACTCAGCTCGGCACAGCACAGTGCGGTGGCTCGCAGCTCTCACACTTCCTGATTTCGTTCTCTCTTGCTCCCTCGGGCTCCCTTTCGCTCTCTCTCTCTTAAAGAGACAGGCAGCTTGGCTGCTGCCAACCACACCTGCCGGCTGGAGGAAGAGTGTGAGGTCCAGAGGCCTGAGCTGCAGTGGCACGCGGCTGGGTGCCTCCCTGCCCCGATTGCGTTCACTGGAGCAGAGAAGTTCAAAGCTCTGCCCAGCGTCTACAGAGCAGGCAGGACAACTCGGCCTGGTGGAGAGCTTCCTGGGAAGCCAGCACCCACAGCTGGGAGACTCAGGAGGCTCAGGCCCCCTGTCCAGGTCCAGCCACTCCTTGGACTCAGCACAGTGAGCGCACAGAGGCCCAAGAGTACGCGCCGAACCAGGGCATGCGCTCCCTGGAGACCCAAGGAGAGACGCGTGGCCGGGAGCGATATTTGGAGAGCGCAGGAGCCTGGAAGGCATTTTGTGGGCAGATACTGGGGGCCCTGAGACCCACACATCTCGAGGGATTTGCGCATGGTCCTCAGAGACACTGGAACACGCCAACCTCCCAGCCAGGGTGTGTCGGGGGGGTGGGGTTGTGGCTCTGAGAACGCAGCCGGACAACCAGGAAATTCCATGTTTCTGTAGTGTTGGAGGGACTTTCCCACGGCCACACCTGGTGGTTTCTCTGCCAGCCCCGCCCCGTGGCAGTGACACCAGGAAGGAGCAGAGCCTTGCCTCACCTCCTGCTCAGAGATGCACCTGCTGATAAGGCGGAACAGAGGCCCGGCTGCAGGCGCTCCCGGCAGAGCCAGAAGGAAAGTCCGAGATCGCCCTGCCCCACCCACCACTCCCCGATGCACCTGCTGGCAGGTGGGAGAGCTGTGCTTCCTGGGTGCCTTGGTGCACTTCCTGGGTGATCCGGGTGGGGCAGGGGACCCCACCAAAGCTGTTGCAGGGTTGCCTCCTCCCTCCCCCCCAGCTCCTGCCTCCGATAAAGGGATTGGGGGAAAAGCAATCCTTCCATGAATCTGAGTCCCTGAGTAGCCATGAGGGGCAGATCCCCCCCACCCCCCGCAATCTCCGCTGGCCCACAAGGGACATTCAGCTTTGCTGAGAAATCAGCCAGTGTTGATTTCGGCTACTGAGTTTTGCAACATGTCCCAGCTGATCCTTGCCATCAACCCCTTTCTGGGATGAACCTACTGAGGCCTCACCAGCAGCCCTTCTTTCCTCTCCAGGAAGCCCAATCTCTCGTTCACAGTGTGGTCAGCCCCTTCGAGCAACAAACATGTGCCACCTCTGAGAGGCAGGCACACCTGCGCTAAGCTGGAGGGTGTAGCCCTCAGCAGAGGCCGGCTTTGTGGACCCTGGCAGCGGGGCTGCAGGGTTGGCGGGGGTCAGGGGGCCAGAAGTGTTGGCTAGAGGAAGGGCTGCATGACCAGACTTTGCAAAGAGGGGAGTGGGGTAGAGGAGAGGGAAGCAGCATGGAGGCAAGAACGGAGTGGGGCTGGTTCAGGACCTCACCCCACCCCCACCTGCTGTCTGTGGCAGGGCAGGGTGGAAGGGGGCCTGCGATCAAGTTCCCCTGAGCCTGACCTGTGGGTTCACATCCTGTGCGGCCAAGATGAAGGAACCTCTTGCCGGGGCCCCAGCTGGGCAGCGTGGCCAGGATTTGGTCTGGGCAGGTGCGGGCGCCTGGTGAGCTTCGGCAGGGCAGAAGTCCGGGAGAGGGCTCGCCACGCTTTCCCGGGGTGGGGGCTCTGGAGCCCTGGAGACCGAAGCAGCCATCAAAGGCAGCACAAGGAGCAGAGGCCGGGAGAGGGGGTCCTTGGGGGCAGCTGTGAGGGAAAACACGGCAGATCTGCCTCCAGCGGCCGGGGCTCTGAGGCTTAACTTGGGTCACTTACCCTGGGTGACCTTGGGGCAAGTCATCCAACCCTTCTCCTAGGGTTGGTGTGAAAACAAAAGATGATGGTGCAGTAGGTTAACGCTCTGGCCTGAAGCGCCCGCATCCCACATGGGCGCTGGTTCTAGTCCCGGCTGCTCCTCTTCCAATCCAGGTCTGTGCTATGGCCCGGGAAAGCAGTAAAAGATGGCCCAAGTGCTTGGGCCCCTGCACCCATGTGGGAGACCCGGAAGAAGCTCCTGGCTCCTGGCTTCGGATCGGTGCAGCTCCAGCAGTTGCGGCCATCTGGGGAGTGAACCATCGGATGGAAGGCCTCTCTCTCTCTCTGCCTCTTCTCTCTCTGGGTAACTCTGACTTTCAAATAAATAAATAAAATCTTTTATATACATATGAAAAAAGATGATGTGCCTAGTACCTGGCATTTTGTCATCTCTTCTACCCCTGCCTGGCCGGAAGCAATTTTTCCCAGCCCAGGAAAGGAACAGGGCAGGGTGGGGATGCAGTGCTGAGCACGGCCGTGGGTCCTCAGGGCTGGTGGAGGCCAGAGCCAGCCCTGGCCAGGAGCGTGTGGGCAGAAGGAGGGGCAGCTCCCCCAGGCAGCGGGCGGCCCCCAGGCCCCTGTGCGACCTCTGTCCTGGTTCCTGGTACAGAAGAGAGAGCATTTCCCGCCATTCTCTCCCACACTCTGAGCTCAAGCCTTCGCCTTCCACCTTCCGCGGCTCTGGAACCCAAGCGGCGCTGAACAGGGAGTGCAGCCACTGCCTGCTTCCCCACTGAGACAGCGGGAAGTGCGTCTCCACCCGGCCAACCTTGCCACCCGCGCTCTGCAGCTCACCGTTCAGGCCCAGGGCTCCTGCCCTCTGACCACACTGCCTCTCCGCTGCTCATCTCAAAAACCAAAGCCTGCTCCCACAGCCTCTCCTGAAGCCCCTTCGCTGAGACGCCCTCGATTGAGTCTTCCTCCCTCCCCACTGGCTGCCCATTCAGACTCACGTCCCCTCTACTGAAAACAGTCATGTCGGGGTCACCTTTCTACACGTCAACACCCTCCCCCGCCCGCGACACTTCCGTCTCTGAACCACACCCCTCACAGTCACTCTGCAGGATTTCTAGTCATTGGCACCCTCTCTTTTGTTCATCTACCCGTTTTTCCCAGAGATCTCATGATTTGAATGCGTCTGTCATCTAATAGCTGCCAAGTTTGCTATCAAGCAGGATCTCTCCCTGGAACCCGCAGGCTGTCAGCCTGTGTCACCCCCAGCCCCGGGCCCAGGCCGACCCCTCTCGTCTTCCTGCTCAACTCCTTCCTGCCATGATGGGCTTTCTCCACCAGGCAGGCCCTGCTCTCCCTCACGGTTTCACTTTCAGAGTGACAGCTGTGTTGTTTGTGTGTCCTCTTTGAAAAGTTCCTTCCCCATTTCTCCTATTCAGCGCTGTAGGACAGGCTCCAAAGTTTGCTGACTGACTCAATGATTGGTCTCTGCCAAATGTCACAAGCTGGGGTTGTTAACGGAAGCCTCCTATTCCTGTGGATGTAAACATTTAGCTCATCTTAAAGATTGTTTCCTAAATGCATCCCCACCTTGTCTCTGCTGGTTTCTATCTGGAATAGAGTAGAATGGGCTTGTGTCTCAATGGTGGTAGCAATGGTCTCATTGCTACCACTTCCCATCAAGCTCCCAACAGAACATGGGAGATAGATGGAGAGGAAGCTGTTTTGCCCTCTGCTGACGGTGGAGGAATGGGCTGCCTCTCCCTCTGGGGTGCTCCAGGCCCGACCCGCGGTCCCTCTACTCCAGCAGTGAAAACACATTCACACCACAGTGTGGCAGAACAGCCTCGGCTTTGACTCACCCACCCGTGTAGCTGTTCCATTAGAACAGGAGTGGAGGGGCCGGCGCTGTGGCGTAGTGGACTAAACTGCCGCCTGCAATGCTGGCTTCCCCTATGGGCGCCGGTTCTAGTCCCGGCTGCTCCGATCCAGCTCTCTGCTGTGGCCTGGGAAAGCAGTGGAAGGTGGCCCAAGTCCTTGGGCCCCTGCACTTACATGGGAGACCCCGGAAGAAGGTCCTGGCTCCTTCTGGATCAGCTCAGCTCTGGCTGTTGTGGTCATTTGGGGAGTGAACCAGCAGCTGGAAGACCTCTCTCTCTCTCTGACTCTCTGCCTTTCAAATAAATAAATAAATCTTTTTTTTTTTTTTAATATGGGAGTGGGAAGAGACACAGGTTGGAAGGGCAGGGCTGAGCTGGACGATACGTGACAGGTGGAGATGGCAGACCTAAGAGACTGGGACGTGTCCCAGCCGGGGCTGTGGCCAGGAGTCTTCATACTCCCAGTGAACAGGGCACCTCTTGCGTGTGAGAGATTGAACCAGCTCCTAGGGCATCTGGCTATTAGAATAATCCCACTAAAAATAAGCATGGGCACTAGGGAGGGGCTCTAGGCTGCATTTGAGTTGTTATCTTTCAATAACGTCACCTTGAATTCGCGCTCTGCTTGAGTCAAAATCTAAAGGACAGAAAGCACACCGGGCTCCCCCGCCTCTGCTCAGCACCTCTCCTGGGGCAGGGGCTGCCACGGGCAGAACGGCTCGGGGTCTGGCTATGGAAGAAACAGCCCCGCTGGGTCAGCCCAGGTCGCAGCAGGCAAAGGCTTCAAGCAACTAATTCTTGGGCTTCGCGCCTCCCAGTGGAGAGATCTGATACAGATGGAGAGAACAGTCTTCATTGAAAACGGGGACGGGGATTCTTGAGGGAAATGGTTCTCATGGCAACAGACTGTCCAATGGCGAGCCGGAAGACTTTCCTCCGAACCTCTTACATTGCACACATGGGCTAAAGGGAAATGCGGGGGGGGGGGGGGGGATTCACATTCTCAAACCACAACTCTGCTGCGCTTGGTGGGGAGAAGGGGGCGGGAGGGCTCCCATTTCTCCCTCTGTTGCCAGGCAGGGCTCCATTAGCACAGGCGAATCAGAAGCCCTTGTGGGCAGCTGTACTCCTCAATCAGATTTCAGTGGGAAAGTGATATATGAGTGACAGCATCGAAACCTAAAAATGTATTTTATTTTGAAGTTGTGCTTTGGATTTTCCCCAATCCAACATCTGTTGAGTGATAGTCTTAGGTTCACACGAAGTATCTCCGAGCATACATACAATATTCCAGTTATCAACACTATTGTAAAGAATATACCATTGTACACCAACGTGACATACGAGTCAGACGCCACGACACTGCAGTTCCCTGGAGGATCTAACTTCTCTTCTGAACGGGAAATACATTTACACCAGCCCTTGCAGCCGTCTCTATCCTGGGGCCGGCAGCATCGTGCCTCATCTTCTGGGGGGAGAAACCAGGGCACCCTGAGGTTGGCTGAGATCAGTGTTTCCAGGGTCCAGGCTGCTGGCTGCAAACTCCTCTGTTTTCCAAATCGGGATGCTGGTGGCCCCGCCCCACTGCTCTCCCCCTAGAGACGGACCCTCCTGAGTCCACACCAGGAAGAAGATCCACGCCCCCAGGGGCAGAGCGGGGCTCTCCACAGCATCATGCTGGTTTCGGCACGCACATCTGAGGAAGGCTGGGCCCCCGAGCCCTGGGCAGCCAGCCCCTTTTGGCTTTTCAGTGTCAGAATCACAGTGTGCAAGCTCAGTTCCAGGCGGCTGCAGTGGGCTCTGCTGAGGGTTCTCCTCCCGTGGGTTCCCAGTCCCCTTGCCAGGACCATCTCGCAGCTGTCAGGAGCACCAGAGGTGGGGAAGACGGCTCGGCCCCCCGAGACGGGGGTAGTGGGTGACCGCACACGCTGTTCAGTTCCTGATGCAAATCAGCAGGTGCACATTGACCAAGGGGATGGCAAACACAAGTCATGTACAGAGTTGAAAGAGAAATAAGGCAGGAGCAACAGAACAGGTCCAAAGCACTGCGTTAAGAAAGTTCTGCTTCTCCCTTCTCAGCGGAGAGGGTGCTGGAGAAGACGGGAGAGCGCAGGGGAGGGTCTCAGCGCTGCTCCGTGGGGTTCACAGGAATGTAAGGTGAAGGGTGGGCTTCCTTTTCGGCAAGGAGACAGATCCTTGCATAGAAGACCCCCTCCTGGCTCAGGACCTGTGTAGGCCCAGGTGACAGACAAGGACAGGCCACTGAACAGAGCAACAAAAACCAAGATTCTCAGGTGCGGTGGGTTGCCTCTTCCAAGCTGGCTCTCTGCGGCAGGACTGCTCAGGTTCTCTCTCTGGCTCTTGGCTTCCCTGATGTTGCATGACTGATTCCCCACAAAGGTCCCTGACAGGGAAAATCCCACCACTTCCCATCGATGCAACTACCAACTTTACATGCTAGTCCAAAAAGGATCTCTTTTACGCCAATATAGGAAATCCCAGGTTTTCCGACATGAATAGCAACCCACCATCTCTCCTGAACTACAGAAAATAACAGGTGAAATATAGACACAGCTTGCACGCGAGGAAAAGACAGAGAAGAGGAACGTGCGTCAGCTTGGGCATGAGCAGGCGGCTGCGGCCCGTGAGCCCGGCTGTGCACTCTCCTGGCACAGCGTGGAGCTGGGGAAGTTGGACCGTGGGCACTAGGTCTGGAGACAGAATTAGAGCAAATGTTAAGGTGTCATTTTTGTAGTTTGAAGGGGAATCAGAAAAAAGACAAAACATTTGTCATCCAATTTTTTTCTTTAGATTTTGGCCTTGGGAAGCTTTAGACTCTGTGGGGTTAAAGTTCCCTTAATTATCCGCATTTTGAAAAGCAAAAACCAGTTGTTAGGGGTCAGAGTCTCTCTTGAATCTAACTAGAGCTCTCCAAGCCCCTGCTGGTCCCTGAAGGGAGAGAGAGAGAGACAGAGAGAGAGAGAGAGAAGGAGAGAGACCTTGTTCAATAGCAAAACTAAGGCTGTTCATTTGGGAACAATTTTGGGATTAGCAAAACTGAATTTAATTTGTTTAATGATAATGCATCTGATGTTTTAAGTGCTGAAAAGAAGTGGGAGAAACAAGGACCTATTTCTTACCTTTTTCAAACCTGCCACAAACACAATAAAATTCTTAAAATTCTTCAGCCTAAAAGGAATCAGCTATAAAACTTTCTTATGCAGGAAAATGCCTCTGTGGACAGCGGTCCAGCAGCGACAGACAGGAACTCCAGAAAGGTCTCTCCGTTCAGAAAGCCCGGCAAAGATCCGGTCCTAACACTGGGCTGTAGTTCTAGAGCACGAAGGAGAGTGACAGCAAACAGCAGTGAGCAGCTCACAGCAACAGAGAGACGACAGAGAAAGCCCGGCCCCACGCGGATCCCAGGATCGTCCCGTGCTGCTGATCTCACATGACGGAGAGATTTCAAAGGCTAGGTGCTCTGGTCCAGATAGAACAAAGTTTGTAACGGAAACAGACGCCCCTGGCGGCTCCTGCGTGAACTGCCACAATAATAACTTACAAAGAGGCTGGTCCTAGGACCAGGAGAGGCTACACATGCCAGAGACTAGAAGTGTGTGTGTGTAAAACGAGGAATGGCATACCTATGATTCTCTATAACCAGTACCCAAAACAAGATGCCACTGAATGCTGGGTGGCAGGAGCCAGGGACCGGGCAAGGCGTCCCCGGGGGGGACTCAGGGGACTGAGGCTCATGCCCATGTCCTCGTGACTTGCCTTGCCAGATTTCACAGTGACCTGATAATGAAAAACTGCCTCTGGCTAACCTAAGAACGGTGTGTACTGCAACTGGCTGGGTTACCACGACTGGGGGAAGCAGGGGCGGGGGGACGGAGAGCAAAGGGAATGAGGGCTTCATTCTCAAGGTTTCGGGGGACGGGGAGGCTAATTCCTGCAAGAACAACTTAGAATCTAATTGTCAACTCAAGTCCCCGAACTAGTTAAATAGGAATATTTTTAATAATAGTCAGTCCCTATAGTCCCTTTATCTAGAACAATTAAATTACATCCCTCAGACAGTACAAGACTTGTCAGTGGACTGTGGGGAGGTGGACGAGTTGACACCAGGGCTAGTGGCATTTGTTTTGGGGAAGACGGTGGGCTTGGGCCGCGTGGCTGGGGGTTTCACGGGGGCGGCCATCTTGACAGACTTGACGGGTCGGAAGGCGCAGGCGATGTCCCCAGCAGTACTGGCGCTGCGCTGGAAGGCGGGCTCAGGGTCCTTGAGGAGCTGGGTGTGCAGGGGGCTGGAGGGCTCCGAGGTGGGGGCCACCACTGGGGAGGTTTTGAGGGGCTCCAAGGTGTCCAGGACCACATCAGGGGTGTGCTTCACACTGCTCTGCCGCTCGAGCTCCCGCAGCTCATTCAAGGCCGAGTTCATGGTCGCCTCAATATCCTGAAAAACAGGAAAAAGGAGCAGATAACTATGGCAGAGGGAGGGAAATCCCCAAGTCAGGAAGAAAGCACCCGTAAGGAGATGTCCAGATCACTTTACGTGGACAAAATCCTTGACCATGCAAATGCTCGGGGGGGGGGGGGGGGGCAGGGATTTTCATCACCACGAGATCTTTTGTTCCTTTAGAGTGGTTGAGGGCTCTTTTTTAACTAGAGTTCCGGGTTTTAGAGCTAGGGACTGAAATCCTTATGGATGAAAGGAGCAATGACCCAGCAGGGAGGGAGGTGGATGAACCGAGCGTCAGCGGTTTGGTCGTGCGCACACGGGGATTCATCATCCAATCCTCTCCGCTTCTGTGGATGCTCCAAATTGTACACAGTCAAAATACACTTCAACAAACGCTACAGGCGAAGTGTAACTTTTACTTTCTTGGACTTCAAGGCCAAAGGTGAAGAGGGTCGGCCCTTCCCCCACAGAGCCAGGCCCTGAGGCTCAGGACACCTCCCCCTGCCCTCAGGGCCCCGCCAACTTGATGAAACCATTTCCTCCTACCCATCACCACGGGAGGATACCCAGGAGTGACCAGGAGGGGGAGCCAAAGCCCACAGAGGGGAACTGCCTTCCTTAAACCAGGGGAGCCTGCAGCCCTTAGGAAACAGCAGTCCAGCCCAGGGAACATTTGTGTGCAAGCCAGCTGCCTCTGGGGGAGACCATCCAGCTCCCTCACCCCTCAGACCACCACAGTGACAGTACCTGTTCCCAAGCAAGGTCCCAGGCTAAGGTTTCTTTGTCCTACAGAGTCACCCAGGTTTCCTGTTGTGATCGAATTTCCCTCGTCCTTAAGACACTCAGGTAGAACGGCCTCTCCCCTGGGTCCCGCTCTGCAGCCCGCCTGTCCCAGCTGCCCACCCTTTCTGGCATCCTTAGTCACACCTGGCCAAGGAGGGAGCTGGGAGGAGTCCATGGTCAAGGCAGAGGGCAGCCAGGAGCTCACACAGAGACACAGAACAGCAGGCGAGCAAAGCAAGACATCGCAGGCCCACAGCTCAGTCCTGGGCTTGCCAGGGAGACCTCCTTCAGCAGAGCCCCACTTAAGCCAATAGAGACCATGCCAGCCTCTATTGGCCCAGGATGACGGGGTGAGGAGGCTCCCAATTCGGTGGAGACGTAAGCGCGCCAACAGTGACCCTTAGTTCCTACCTGGTCTAACGGAAATTATATAGTTGGGAGAGACGTCTGAGGGAACTGCTTGGAGTGGCCCCGGTGGTCGGATTTTTACAGGTGGGGTTGAATCGCTAATGTTTCATGGAAAACAGAGAGTCATCAGTGTGGCGCAGACACAGGCAGGCCCTGGAGTCAGGGAACTCATCTCCACTGCATCGGAGACTTGGCTGGAAACCTCTCTGGCATCCGAGCTCCCGGGAACCAGAGCAGGCTTGGGCCTTGAAGACCAGGAGCACTTGTTGCCTGACCATCCACGCAGAGGGCCCAGAGATGAGCCTTAGGAAACGGGGTGCTGGGGGTGGGCAGAGTGACAGGAACACATGGCGAGAACTGTATCCGAGCCAAAACACTCAGGCAGCTGCACTTAAGAAGGGTCTTACGACCCCCAACTTGGGCCAAATGGACCTTCTCAAAGTACTCCTTTAATTATGTGTCCCTTAAAATTGACAGCAGCTTTGTAAACAGCCGGCACCATGAGGCAGAAGCCAGAATTCTTTCATTTGTTTGCAGGTTCTTCTTGGGGAGAGAGAAAGGCAGACTGCTGGTGGAGCTGTTTTATCAAGGCCACACATCCAATACTTGCTGAACTCAACATCTAAGCACAAAGCACCATTCTGATTCAGGTTCCCTGTCCTAAGTGGAAACGCTGTGTGCAGGTGCGCGCTGTTTGTCCAGGAGCCCCCAGTTACCTGTGCAATGACCTCAGGGTCCATGGGCCGATGGTTATTGAAGCTCTTCGACCTCCCTGCCGTGGCGGTCTTGCGGATCTGTGGGCTGTCCAGCCGATTCTTCAGGGATGAGTGGCGGCTGATGGAGTTGAGGCTCCCGTGCCCGCTGATGGAACACTTATCTGGCCCTTCCTTGGGGAGACTCTGGCTGAGGATGGGCTGGGAGGACGGGCGGCAGCTAGCCCCCACCCCCGGGGAGGAGGAGTCAGTCAGGGAACCGCTCAGCCCGTGGCTGTCGCTACGGAATGTTTTCCGGATGCTCCCAGATTCCGGCCGCTTCCTTTGCCTTCAATTACAAACAGAGAGGGCAGTGTGATCAGGGAGGCCGGACTCCAAGGAAGCTGGGAGGAGCGGGGGAGGGGCAGATGTCGGCGCCCAGGGATTTCTGGAAGGAGAGGGACACGAGGCACCTTCTCTCCTCGGGTGCCACAGCCTCTTGCCTTCTCCACAGAGCTGCTCCCCTCCCACCCAGGGTCTGGGCAAAGGAGAAATGGATACTTACTCGGTGGTCGTGGGCTCTGGGTTCTCAAGACGTAAGGTGCTGTCAGAAAGAAGTCTGATTAAGGGGAAGTTTCTAGAGGGAGGAAGGCTCGTGGAAAGCCCCTCCGTTACCTGCTTTGAACGGAAACCTAAGGCCCCGGGTAGGAGAGGTCTCCCCATCACCAAGGAGGCAGGAAGTGATGGCAAGAGGAGAGCTGACTTTTCCAACTCTTAGCGTGTCTTTTAGTCCAACTCCAGCGAGATGGGAATCATTTTGGGTTCTGGCAAGAGGCTGTTGCTTATTTTGTAGACATGGAACAGAAGAGGCTGCCGTGCTGCGGTGAGGGCCCGGCTTGTGCCTTCTCTTAGGGTGAAGATACAGATCCTGACTCCTACGTCACCCTGCACTGGGCCCACCCTGGCTCTGGACCAGCCTGCTGGAGACTACCTGATACGAGGGCGCGGCGGAGCTCTGGTGCTATGGGTGCTGCCTGCTGCTGGACAATTTCACTTTCTCTTGGAATCAGATGTTCAGACCTAATCCCTGAAGCAACAATGCCGCAGCTAAGGGAGACCAGGACTGAGGGGGAACGCGAGACAGAAGGAGGGGAGGAGCAGCAGCCTGCAAACGAGGAGCTGCACAGCCCGCGCCCCAGTCAGCCCTGGTCCTGGTCACGGCTCCGGTCTTCCTCGGGGCCCGGCCCAGAACCTGGCCCGCAGCAGCCACTCCAAGAGTCTGCCCGCTGGGCAGTTCTAGCCTTGGGAGCCAGCCATTCTCAAGTGGAAGAATGGAGTTCTCAGCTCTCGGAGCTGTAAAGAGTACAGGCACCGCACAGTCCAAATGAAGGCAGAAGGGATGGATCCCTGCCGCCCCGCTTCCTTCAGAGCGCCCACGGCACTGCCCTCACCTGTCCATTCGGCCTTCGCTTTGCCAGCCTGTGAGCTCCGAGGCCAGGGGCCGCGTCTGATTCACTTCTGAGTAACTGGCCTCACTGCTCAGCACAAGAGCAGATGCTCACTACACGTGTGGACTCAAACGGCAATGCCACAGCCTAGCAACTCCTCGCTGACTTCCTCTTTTCCCTCAAGCTCGGCTGACTCACAGGCCTGTGCCTGCTGAGAAGGCAGATTTATGGGGTGGCTGCAGGGTGCCAGGCCCTGGGGCCACGAACACGAGGAGGACAGCACAGTGGGCCCTGTTTCAGGGAGCTGCAGCTGGCGGGGGGTCGAGGGCGGTGTGGGTCCTAGATGCACTCAGCTGCTGTGGGAATGCAGAGGAAGGGGACTGAGTGCAGCACGTGGGCACTCAAAGGTGTGACACCGGCCTCCCCGGAGAGGTCAGCCTTTGCGCTGGGTCTCAAGGGAGAGTGAGGGAGCAGACAGCAGACGTGAAGGGGGAAAGTTGGGGGCCCAGGCACTCAGGAAACTGAAGGATTTGGGGGAGGAGTGGGCCGGAGATCGGGGCCGGAGGTGGGGCTCAAAGGCTGACAGTGGTGAGGGGCAGGCGCACCCAGGGCTGCCACGTACTGCTGAACAGTCAGCTTCGGAGCAGGCTGTGGCCACAGAACCTGTCCTCCAAGAACCGCGTCCCCAGAGACCTGACCCGGCCCAGCGAGGGCGTCAAGCGAACGGCCTTGACTTCCAGCAGATGACCAGCGTCACCATCTTAGCTGTTGGTCTCCACAGCCCCTTTGCCCAGATGGCATCAAATAGCTGATGGCTACAGAGATGTTCCTAACTAACCGCTTAACTCTCCCTCTGCGAACCCGCCTGGGTTTCCGGGTTCATTACAGGCTTAAGGACCCTAGGACTGCAGACTCACAATGAACACAGACTTGTAAACAAGAAGAGAAACGTGGTCTCACACAGTCGCTTTTTACTAGCTTGCCTTCCCAGCAGGGCAATGCGCTGGAGGAAAACCAGAAACCTCCCTTTTTTTCCCCCTCTTTTTTGCCGGCCTGAATTAAATCATAACTACACGAAGTGAGCTGAAGAACCTTCTTTACAAACTTGAAGGTGAAAGAGATGGAAAAGAGCCACGTGTCCCAACCACTCCCCCTGCTACCGAGGGTTGGAAGAAAGCCACGAGATCTGGGCAACCCGGTGTAGTTTAAAAACAACAAGCATCTTTTATTCTTCCAGTCTCAGTGTCCAGAGGCTACGGTTAACAGGTTTTCAAAGTGCAAATCGTTTCATTCCTCCAAAGCCAGGGGGGAATAAAAACTGTACATCATCTCCAATCCATATTCATCAGGAGCGCCCTGGGGCTTGTCATCCTGCTGGCACTGGGCCAGGTTTCAGGGTCTGGCGGAAAGAGGTCTGTAGGCTTTGGGACTTGGTGTCTGGCCCCTTGAGATGAGATTAGTTCTCCAATAACCTGAATGCCTCTGGGGAGGCAGCAGCACGCAGGCGTGGAGTCCCTCTGGACAGCCAGCTCGGTGTGGGTGGAGTTAAAACCCCAGGATGTTGCTAACGGCCACAGTGAAAGCTGGGGGTCAGAGGTAAGAGCCCGCTGGACAGGAGTGGGAATCTGTAAAGGGACTAACAGGGGAGGATAAACACAGGGCTAAAGCAACAGGAAACAAATGGAAAATGATTTCTCCTGGTGTGAGGGCAGAGGAAAAGGGCGCCAGGGGTTAGGCAAGGAGCAGAGAGCTCAGGACGAAGCTTCCCTTGGGGGGCTCAGTGCTCTCCTCTCCTCCACAGGAGTGAACGCAGGACACGTGATATCCACATGAACCCACCTGGCACACGTTAGCCTGGCACAGGACACACAAGACTTTGCATTTTGGGACAGACACGGGTCAAGGAAGACATCAGAGACTAGGACTTGAGTAAGAATTGGAAAAGAGAAGGCACCTCTAAGAAACAGTACGAAACCAAGTTGCATGAAGTGACTGAAGCCTTGGCCAGAGTTGTAGCCCTAAGACAGCCAGGTGGGTCTGGGCTGCTGGACACCGTGGGAGCACACAGTGCAGCGCCCTTCCCCAGCGTGACGGCAGCTGGCAGGAGCCCTGCCCCTGCCCCAGAGGCCGGCAGCAGCCTCCTCAGCCCTGCGGGCCTCGCAGCAGCGGTGAACACATGCGAACTGTTAGGCTGAGGGAGCTGGCAGCCCTACGGACAGCACAGAATGGAGGGGTTAGGCCAGAGGGGAGCGGGGCGTGGCACACCATGGAGGGAGCAGAAAATGAAAAGCAGAGCTTACTTGTTGATGTTTGCAAGATAAATATCGGCTACATGACCCCCACTGGGACAGCTGGCCCCCGCTCTGGCTGTCACCTTTTCTTCAGGTGGCTCAGAAATGACCTCAATCTCAGACTTGGGGCTGGACCTCTCCACGACACCGTCCTCGCTGGGGGGGAAGGGGTGGGCAGGCAGGCAGGGGAGGGAAAACACAACACAAAAAGCAGCGTTAGATTGGCAAGATGGCCCCCCAGACAGCACACGCGACCCCACACGGCTCTCGGGCAGCAGCCACGCCTGGCGGGGCTAGCTCTCTGGGCACAGGCAAGGCAGCCTAGGGGCCTCCTGCGGGGGCTTTAAATAAAATAAATAATCCGCTGAGTCCTGTGGCCCCTCAGCTCCCGGGGAAGCTCGGCTAGGGCGACACCCGCGTTCGTGGCTTTCCTGGGGCGGCTGTGCTGGGGCCACCTCCTGGAGAAGGAGGCGGCGAGTCCAGGTTGCGTTTTATCTGCTGAGGTCCCGAGCACTGCCGGGAAAGGACAGTCGGCTCTGCTGCGGCTCAGGAGATGCCGGCGCTGGGGCAGGACGCGGCCATATCTGTCGTAGCGCGTCGAGCCCCGCTTAGAGCATCCAAGCCGGTCCCGGTCTCTCCACTGCTCTCCTGGCCCCTTTGGCTACTGACGACAAAGCAAGCCCCCTTTTCCCCACAATTCATCTTCTCTCCATCCTGTGGTGAAGTCATAATGCTAAATTTGGGAGGGTCCTGTCCACGCACAGGTCGCCACCAGGTTTGCGATGTTATCAAGAGAGAGGCTTTCCCCGAAGAACGAGCTGGGGGAGGCTGGGAGGGTGCAGACTCACTCAGGATATCAACCTTTAAAAAATAATATTAAGGGAAGGACTAAAAACACTGACAGCAGTGGAGCCAAGGGAAGGGAGTTGGGGGCAGAGGCAGGGCCAAGGGACAGGGAGGAAGGCTTGGGCGGGTCACAGGTACTTCCTGTCTGGGGGACCCACTTAATGCGTGGGAGCCAACCAACAGCCCATCCAGCAGAACCTCTGAGACCGGTTCAGGTTCCTCTTGTCCTCCCGCACCTTTTTCTCTCCTCGCCCCCATCTTCCCCCTACTCAACCTCATCTCGGTTAAATGCACTGCGTCCCTTCTATAGGGCTGCTTGGACCAGAGTTCTCCTCAAAAAATGACCTATCGTTTTCATTTGTGAGTGGAAAATGCCAGCAGTGGCCACACAGGCTGAGGTGAGCATAACTGTTTATGCTCTCCCAATCTGCTCTTTCCCGAAAGGAAACATTGAATAAAAACCCTGTGGTATCACTCATCGGATAACAAGGTGGATAAGCGCTGACTAGTAGGTTTCTTTCTTTCTTTTTTTTTTTTTTTTAATTTTTTTTGACAGGCAGAGTGGACAGTAAGAGAGAGAGAGACAGAGAGAAAGGTCTTCTTTTGCCGTTGGTTCACCCTCCAATGGCCGCCGCGGCCGGCGTGCTGCGGCTGGCGCACCGCGCTGATCCGATGGCAGGAGCCAGGTATTTCTCCTGGTCTCCCATGGGGTGCAGGGCCCAAGGACTTGGGCCATCCTCCACTGCACTCCCTGGCCACAGCAGAGAGCTGGCCTGGAAGAGGGGCAACCGGGACAGAATCCAGCGCCCTGACCAAGACTAGAACCCCGTGTGCCGGCGCCGCAAGGCGGAGGATTAGCCTAGTGAGCCGCGGCGCCGGCCATGACTGGTAGGTTTCTAACAGGACCAGATCAGAGGATGATGTGCAGGGGGAACAGCACGGGGAGATTTAAAAAAACTCACTGAGTGAGTGGGGAGAGGGAGTCCAGGAGCTCCATGAGCCTTGGGAAGTCACTGGTGTCCTCGGGGGTCGCCCTCCCTCACCCTCACAGTGCAGCCCGGGGCCACCCCCAGGTGCCGGGGCCCGACGTACGTGTCTTGGACCACGATGTACTGGTGTGGGATGAGCCCGTCGATGCCGTTGTGCCGGCCTTCCCACCAGTCGTCGGAAGCCCGCTGGTAAAGCAGCAGGGATGCTCCCTTCTTGAAGGACAGTTCTCGCGCTGTCCGGCCCACGTAGTCAAACTTGGCAATGGCCTCGATGGGCTCACACTCTGAGGGGCAGAAGAGAAGGAAGCACATGTTGTGGGGCCTTAGAGATGCAGGCAATGGTGGAAAAGCCCCACTAGCGGAACCGACCCTGGAGGGAAGACAACCTCACAGCAGAGCCAAGGCTGCTCTCGGAAGCAGACAGCTCCATACTGACCAAGCCATCACCCTGAGGGCACTGGTGTTCTCTCCTCTGCCCTTGCTCATGTGGTTCCCACCACTTGCAATCCCTGGTCCTGCATCTCCCTGATGAAACCCATCAAGACACAAGCACCATGGGCTGTCTCCTTTTTAAAAAAAAATTAAAAAAAAAATTTGTTTGAATGGCAGAGTTACACAGGGGCAGTGAGGGAGAGAGAGAGATCCGTTATCTGCTGGTTCATTCCACAGATGGCTAGAACAGCTGGGGCTGGGCCAGGCAGAAGCCAGGAGCCTGGAACTCTATGCAGGTCTCCCATGTGGATTGCAGGAGTTCAAGAACTTGGGCCATCCTCTGCTGCTCTTCCAGGCGAATTAGCAGGAAGCTAGAGAGGAAGTGGAGCAGCTGGGACTCAAACTGGCACCCATACGGGATGCTGATGTTGCAGGTGGTGGCTTAACCCACTTGCACCACAATGCTGCCCCTGTCATCTGTTTGATATACTAACTTCTTTGGTGAGTCCATAGCTATTACCATCAAGCTTGCCATATTGTATTACTTGTTTTTCTAATGATATAACTCCATTAATTACAGAAAAAAGTTATTATCCTATATTTTAAATAAATAAATGTTTTATATTCCCTCAAATAGAATGTGCTTTTAGTTTCTATAAAGAGAAAATAACTTGTCCAATCAATTTTCCAAGGAGCAAAATATGGACATATTTTGTGAGCAATATGTGAAAAAATGCACAAGAAAGTAATTGTAAAAATTAAAAGGGGTTGGGAGCTGGCACTATGGCATAGTGGGTAAGGCTACCGTCTACAGTGTTGGCATCCCATGTGGGCACCAGTTTGAGTCTTGGCTGCTCCGCTTTCCCTGCTGGTGCGCCTGGGAAAGCAGCAGAAAGTGACCCAAGAACTTGGGTCCCTGCACATGTGTGGGAGATCCAGATGAGGCTCCTGTCTCCTAGCTTCAGCCTGGCCCAGCTCTGGCCATTGTAGCCATTTGAGGAGTGAACCAGTGGATGATGGAGGATCTCTCTCTCTCTCTCTCTGCCTCTGCCTCTCTGTAGCTCTGCTTTTCAAATAAATAAATCTTAAAAAAAAAAAAAGAAAGTTGAAAAGGTCTTACAAATGCAATGTATCTTTACTTTTGTGTGGGTTTCCATCTTCTCATCTGTAAAAAGAGGATAATAACAGTGCCTCCTGGGGGCAGGCGTTTGGCCTATCTGTTAAGATATCTCCAGTCTACCTTGGGATATCCAGGTTCGAATCCCATCTCTGGCTTCTGACTCAACTTCTTGCTCATGCAGACCCCCGGAAGCAGTGGTGGTGGCTCAACTAATTGGGTCTCTGACACTCTCGTGGGAGACCTGGATTGAGTTCCTGGCTCCTAACTTCAGTCCACTAGCTGTTGAAGGCACTGGAGGAGTGAACCAGCAGACAACAGCTCTCTGCCTCTCAAATGAATAAGTAATAAATAAATGTTACTTTTTCATGAAGTTATTGTGAGCAATCAATAAATTGTGATGGGTAAAGTGCTTAGAACAATGCCCAGAGCAGAGTGAGTGGTACGTATGCCTCGGCGATTGTTCTCATTATCTGGTCTAGGCTGCTGATGGAGAGCAGAGAGTTAAAAAAAAAAAAGGGCTCCCAGAATCTTAGAATCCATGATGAAGGTCAGATATTACGGTGCGTAGACAGCCCCGCTGGTGGGTTTGCTTCTGAATGGCTAGGGTGCAAGAGCTCACTACAGGAGGCAGAGCAGACAGAGCAGGCCTGTCTAACTGCCCCAGTCTCAGTCCTCTGCAGCCTTGGGCATGGCACTTGACCTGTCTGACCTCTGCTTTCTCAGCTATAAAACAGCAGCCAAATCTATTTCGCTAGGGATTAAGAGATAATATATAAAGCCTTTAACAGTACAAGCACAAGGTGGTTTCTGTTTCAGTCCCCTAGTTTACCTACTCTTCTCCAATAGCGCAGCAAATGATCATACCAATCCTTTTGACATCAGGATTTAAATAAGCAGACCTAATTTTTTTTTCCTCTTTGAAAGTTGGCCCGGGATTGCAGAATTCACAGCAAGGCAGGAAGGAGGGAACACTCCACAGACTGTGCCATTTCATTCTTGTGCCCAGAAAATTCTGAGGCCCCTTGTCAGCTTCTGAGACTTCCAGAAGCCCAAGTGATCCAGAAGTGGAGGTGTGGAACTGTTGGAAGGAGGGGAAATTATGCTGGCCGGACAGACCCTAATAAATCATGGGCGCTGCAGAGGGGCCCGAGGGTGACAGCCGAGCATTCCGCTGCTTGCCGCACACCCGCCAGGCTGCTCAGCGCTCGCCTGTCTGTACTGTGGAAGGGGCCGGCTTCTCCAGTCGGCAGGCACAGACACGGGGGTCTGCCTCCCCTGTACTACCCCCTTCTGGCTTGCTTTTTTGTTGGATTCTTGGCACCCAGCTTCTCGATTCCCCAGGCTCACTGGTTTTCAAATGATTTCTCTTTCACGTTGGTCTCCAGCTACCTGGCAGAGGTCTGAGCTGTGATAAAGGACAGACATGGTGCTGCAAAAGTTGAGACTGAAAGACCTCGTTCTTCACCTCTGGCTTCACACAGACACCAAGGAAGGGAAGGAATGAAAACCAGAGACAGGAGAGCTCTCGGCTGTCGTCAGAGGGCTGCTGTGCAGGAGAGCTCATCAGGTGTGGGGGCCCCGTGGCCACACTGGCCGGGAAGCAGGGCCTCCTACCGTCATCGCTGGTGTGATGCTCTGTGGTCACGTCCTGGGTCGAGTCTTCAGCGGAGGTCGTCTCTCCGTGAGGGCTGTCACTGCAATAGAACCGCAAATGAGCAGGACTTTACCGCTCACTTCCCCTCCATACAGCCTCCTCGCACTCAAAGTAAGGGCACCAAATCAACCTCACGCTCTTGGTACTCTACCTGTATAAAGAGACCAAGGCTTATACTGAAACATAAGTCTCCATCCAGCTATTCTCCAACGTAGCACCTGCTACAGAGACTACTTGAGACCATCTGGGACTTCGAATACCTCAAGACAATGGGAAGCCCTTTTGAAGATACACAATAAAATCTTCAGAAAACAGAAAATCATGGATGCTCCTACGTGAAGTTGTTCCTGGTTCTCAAGGAGGGAGCATGGTGGGAGGGAAACGTTGCTGTTAGTGTCAGCTACAACTGGATTCAAAACCCATCTCTGACACTTGGTAGCTGTACGACACCGTGGGCGAGTTACTTCAGCTCTGTAAGCTTCAACTGCCTAAGCTAGAAATGGAGAAGGATCTGTACACTTCACAGATTTGGGTGAGGAGTCAATGCAACAATCCAGTAGAGTTCGGCCCAGAGAAGGGGTTTACTAAGTGGTACTTCCTTTCCTTCTTCTTTCTCCTTTTGCTTGAGGTCTCTAGGCTGGTTCTGTGGTCCAGCCTGTGTGCTGGTGACAAAGCGGGGAGGGAGTCACACCAGAGTCGGTGGAAACTGAGAGCGAGGGAAGACTGCTGTGGACTGGACGCTGCAAGAAGGCAGGGGTGAAGGCTGGGCCAGGTTCCTGAAAACATTCGTAAAGTCTAAAATCATCCAGGGTGGAGACTGGAGATGGCTGGGGAGGTCGCCAGGAAAAGTTATCTCTACTCCTGATCTCCTGGCTCCTGGATTGGAGAGTAGTTAGAAGTTCTTACTTTGGAAAAAGTATAGAGAAAACTATTTAGTTCTAAATAAAATGTCTTTCTGTGACAAGCGAGCCTTTCCAGGCATCTCTACAGAAGCAACGCCACAATCTGGCTGCACAGTCTCCTCCTTTGGGCCCTACAGCCTCTCCTTCCTTATGCAGTGGTTCCTGCACTCTTGGGAAGTGCCTCAATCATGGGCATCAGTTCAGGTCTTACCCTGTGTGGACCAAGTCAGTTCCAAAGGAGTTTCCAACTCCAGAGAACTTTCTGGGAGAACATCCACAGAAATGCTGCTTTGTCCAAAAATGTAGGCATAATTCCTCACTGTCTTCTGGGCTTAAAAACCCTGTGATGAGTTTGGAGATGTTCTGGAAACTCTTGGGGGCCCCAAGCATGTATAAGACAAAGCAGACTCCCCCTAGGGCTTCAAGTTCATCTACGGCAGCCATCCATTACAACAGTTCTCAAACTTCAGGGAACCTCAGAGGACTTGCTAAAAAACAGATTGCCTCACCCCTAGAGTCTCTGAGTCACTGGATCTGGGTGGAGCTGGAGAATCTACATTTCCAAGCAGCCCCACATGATACAGAGACATTTGTCTGGGGGACGGCATTTTGAAAACCACTGCTCCATGGTCAAGGCAAAATGAAGCCTTTAAGGTCCCTTCTAGCCCTAAGGTCCTATGCTTCATTTGCCCCACACCCATCCTCCAGTAACAGCTCCCAGGCCCACCAATACCTGAGGTCCCAGCTGAAGCCCACCCACAGGCAGCCCTAGAAAACAGGGTTCTGATTTAGGGCTGGTGAGAGAGTAGTGAAACGGGTTTGCCTCTCTTCCCCCGGCAGCCCCGGGCTGGGCCTCCCTGGCCACTCCCCAGGGCTCCAGGGCTCACCGCCGTCATCGCTGTAGATCACTAGCACTTCTCCCTCTTCCGAAAGAGAGGAGAGGAGAGAGGCCAGGAGCTTCTGCGTGGGTGTCAATCCAGGGGCCGGAAAGTCCCTCTCAACCCAAGGTTGCACCAAGCAAACTCCATCTGCTTAGGTGCTTGTGGCCTGAGGTCCGGGGCCCTCCCACCCAGGCTGAAGCAGTAATGTTCCCTGACTAAGCTTGTGGTTTTCCACAAGCTGCTGCTAGTGTCTGCTGCACAACACATGGAGGCGGCTGGGGAGAACACCTTGGAGAAAGCTGGAGAAAGGTGCCGGCCTGACCAGGCCCTGTGAGCCACACCCCGCAGGGTTCTGCCTGCTCCCCTGGAATGGGGCGGGGGGCTGTGTATCTGAGCATTGGTTCAGAGCCTGCAATGGTTTGATTTTTGAGAAGTGAGGACAGGCCATGCTGCCTGACTTTAGAAGGGAGGCAGAGCAAGAACCAGGAGCACTATGGGAACACTACAGCCTTTCAGCCCTCATACAAGGGGGAAACCAACTCCCACAGTCATGTGGACAGGACAGCTCCCTGGAACTCACCAGCCAGGACCAACCTCCCTGGTTTCCACAAACCATCTGTCAGTGACAAAAGCTTTCTCTCCAAGCTGGCCAGCTTAGGTTCCTGCAACTCAGACCCAGATTTGGGGCTCGCAGCTCAGCAGAGAGGAGTGAGGCCCAGCGTGTCCCTGGTATAATGATGTTCAGAAGCACAAATGCTACTACTCTTGTCGCTCGTTGGGCAGGAGGCTCTTCTGTGGGTGTCAGGGGGAAGTGGGGACCAGCTAGCTTCTCATTAAGTAAATAACCTCCTCTGGCCTCCCCTACCTCAGTCGATAGCAATGGGGCTGGCCAAATTGGTTCCAGATGTTGAATTCAGATGGAATCCGATTTGGGCTGGCTTGTGCTTTCAGCTCAGGCTGAAAAATTATTTAGGGGAAGGGGGGGAGGGGGGAAGGGGAGGTGAGGGACATTAGGGATTAAAACAGAGAGGCAGCTGTCTTCGTGTTTAGTGGGCAAATGGCACAGTGTGGAATCCCAGCAGGCAGTTCAGGGCCATGGACAGAGTTCTGCACTAAGAGACAAGACAGTGGGGTTGAACCCCTATCACTGGGGCGGCCTGAAACACTGTCCTTGGTCTCTCTGGGTTGGGGTGACTTAACCTGTCCAATGGATATATGATTCCATATTTTGGGAAACGACTCCTTATCTGTCCAATAGAGGAATCTAACAAAGATGTACTTGAGGGATTCCTTCCAGATCTCTGTCTCCATGCCTGTCATGGAAACCCTGGCCCCACAGATTTTAGGCCTGCTCCTGAGGGATGGTGCCTAAGCTGCTGAACATGGAGCGGACCCCTCTTTCTCTTGACAAATTGCTGAGCTCATTCTACAGTGTCCCCTTCCAAATGCACAGTCAGGAAATTCTGACTCACATCTAAGCACTCCCCAACAAGAATGGAATTCCCTGGGACCTGGGACTGTTTTTCTCACAACTCATAGCACAGAGTAGAAGCCTGAGAGACGCTGTTGGCTCGTGAATAGCAGTTCTACCTACAGCTTCATAAACTCCCTCCCTGGGGCCTCCCGTCGCTGTTGACGCTGTCATCTTGCAGAGTGGCCCCTCTGTGCTCAGAACGCAGGGAAAAGGGAGGTGCATGGAGAGGTCCACGGTTGAGGGGGGAGGACTGCCAGGCCATCCCCAGACCCTGGCAACCTCCAGAGCCTGGAAGTGGGGAGCTGGGGGACTGGGTGCTTCCCTCGGTGTTTGCTGGGCCATCTGGCCCCCGTGCCAGGGTGCATTGCTGATGCCCCCCTCCTCCAGCCCCGAGCCCCCCTACCAGTAATCCTCCATGCTTCCTCCTCTGCTGTAGACAGGGCCCTCCAGCTCCCTGGGGTTTGGGAAGATGTTCTCATGCTGGATGATGATGGTTTTGATCAGCTCGTTCACGTGGGCTTGGCAGGACACCTGGTCATGGCCCTCCGGCACTGACATCAGCGAGGGCCCGAAGCAGATGGCGAGGTTGTAGGGGTCCATCATGTTCTCTTCACTGAACTGTGATAAACTGGAGGGGAAGGGAAAGGGGGCAAGCTGGAAAGCTCTCGCATGAATGCCCCAAGGCACAATCACAGGAGGCACTGCCAAGAGGTCCACAAATTGCCACCTGCCTTTCTGGGCACCAGAGGCCTGGAGAAAATCAGCTGGGGAGGAGAAAATCCCTCCAAGGCAGTCACGCAGGAGCCAGAGAATCAAGGTGCAACCACCTACCTGCAGGTCAGCTCCTAGCTTCCTGTTCGAGTCTTACTAACCACTCTGTCCTCACCCCGTCTGGACCTTGTCCCCACAGCCACCCTGCCTTGAGAACACACCACTCTGCAGAGCTGTCTCTGTCCCCAACCCACTAGGCCGACGGGAACCCTCAGGCTGCCCTGGGAACAGTATGGTCAAAACATAGACACAGTGCATTGTGTACCTTCTTGCACAGCAAAATAATCAAATTAATAGGGATATTCCATTTGTCTCTACATTAAAAAAAAAAAAGCCAACTGATTAGCTTTGCATCCATCCAGCCAATGAGTTTCCTTCTGGAACAGCTAATGTCATTGTTTTGCATGTTCATAATATCCTCTATTATCACATTCAGGGTTTGCTCAGGAAAAGGTCAGCGTGCTGTTCAGCTTGGGCCTGGCTTCCTCTGGATGCAGGCTGGCTTCATTTTCGGGTATTTATTTATTCTGGGAACTCCCCCTTTGTAGCCAGCAGCTGTTCCAGCCACACCTCCAACCTTGGCCAAGGACTCAAGACCTTCAATGAGCCATTGCGCATGAGGAGTCCCCATTGGTCCTTGCCTGTCCCAGCATCGAGGGTTGGGCCAGCTCTGGGCAAATCTCCCACAGTCCACAGAGCTGTGAGCTCTGCTGAGGAGCTAGGCCTCCCTTACGGGCAACAGCAGGAATCTGGTCCTGACAGATCCTCTGAGGACACCAAAGCTCTCCGATGTTGAACTAGAGGCCCGAGCAGAGCTTATTTCTAGTGTACCCCACGTCCAGACTCACGATACAAAGCCAGTGTTCCCCTAACCCGTTGGTTCCCTTCTCTCCTAGAGATTCTGAAATGCACCCTTCCCCTTCAACAATCACCACAGGACACGAGAAGGGGTACAATGGATGTGGGCAACTGTCACGGTAAGAAAGACCTGAGAATCATTGTTCTCTGGGACTCAGAATGAGATGCAGGCCAGGTTAGTCTTAGTGGGTGGACTGCTTGATAAGCATTTGGACCCTGAGTTAAAAAGGAGTAGAGATGTTAAAAAGACTGGGAAAAGCTTCTAAGTCACTTTTTTTTTCTTTTTTTGACAGGCAGAGTGGACAGTGAGAGAGAGAGAGAGAGAGAGAGAGAAAGGTCTTCCTTTTCCGTTGGTTCACCCTCCAATGGCCGCCGCAGCAGGTGCACTGCGCTGATCCGAAGCCAGAAGCCAGGTGCTTCTCCTGGTCTCCCATGTGGGTGCAAGGACCAAGGACATGGGCCATCCTCCATGGCACTCCCTGGCCACAGCAGAGAGCTGGCCTGGAAGAGGGGCAACCGGGACAGAATCTGGCGCCCCGACCAGGACTAGAACCCTGTGTGCCGGCACCGCAGGCGAAGGATTGGCCTATTGAGCTACGGCGGCACCGGCTCTAAGTCACTTCTTAAACCGGAGAGAGACAGGAAAGTTATTTTCCTTGGTAACCTCCAGAAGGTCAACGGGGGCATGAGGTGCCACAAAGCTAAAGCTGAAGCCAGTTCCTGGTGCCATGGAGGCACAGGGAGGGAGGCCCTGCTTCTTTAGTGTGATGTGATAATGTTTTGGTATCATGAAAGAAAACCAGATGTTTCTGGGAAGCCCGGTTGTCAAAAGGAAACAAACTTTAGCTCTGAGTGTCCCACATCAAACCCCTGTGAGAGATGAGAAATGCCGAGGCACTTACTACGGCCAGCACCGCTCGATTCGCAGTGGCCACAATGACGGCAGGCTGAAGGAGGACACATCTCCCCAGACCGTGGTCTCACAAAGTGAGGGCCCTTTCCTTATCCTCATCAAAACTCTGACCCAGACCCTTCTTTCTCTTCCATCGACAAGGGGCCATCCAAGGTCAGAGGTTGAGGCAATGGTGCTTAACTAACTGGGGGACACAGACACTTTCAAGACCTTGGCAAATCCTAGGATCCTCTGCCCAGAAAAATCCAAATATGTGCACTTACAAATGTACACAATTTTATGTAGAGTGTTCTGGTGTTAATAATATTTAAAGCCCCAGAAGGCTGTACCTAGTCTAAGATATCAGTCACTATATTTTTATTTTTGAAGAAATATCTAAGCTGGAGAAGACTGACAATGGCTTCCTGCTTAGGAAATTTTGGGGGGTGATGTTGCCCTATATCCCTGCCATCCCCACTAAGAATTCTCCTACATTTCTGTGGCTTCAGTTCACAACCTGAGCGAACTCTGAACTGACTGAACTCACCTCCATGTGCGCATCTGAAAAGGACTTGGCATTATGACTGGGAACACAGGAAGGTCATCGCCCAGATTGGCGTGGAAAATTTGCTTTTCCTCATGAACTTTTTTTTTGTTTGTTTCTTAACTTTTTGGTAATGTATATTTATTTCTTTGACTAAATTAAGGGAGAAAACAAGATATCTCAAAGTCAAATAGAGTTGGTTTTGAGTCCTGGTTTCATTGCTTACTCGTTCCTTAACTTAGTTCTAGTTCCCTAGTTTCTTCATTGTTAAATGGGGGCAGGATGCACCTCCCTGATGGGGCTGCCATGAAGAGTAAATGAGATAATATGTGCAAAGTATTCAGCATGGTGCCCGGCACATGGTGGTGTTTAGTAAAGACTTCCTGTAATGGTACTATCCTGACTGCTCCTTGATCCAGGAGCCTGTTGTGTCAGGGAGTGGAAGGCAGGGCTGCTGACATCTGGCAGTCGCCAGTGTACGGGAATCTACCTGCCTCCTTCCTCCACAAGCTTCATCTAATGAGCTGAGGACTCTAGGTCCCAGAACCAAGACCTGAACTCCTCAGACACAGCATGAAGCTTTGGATCAGCTGTTTTAAACACATGACATTTCACTGAAAAACCTTCAACTTCCCAGGCCCCAAGGGGTTTGACTTGGTAACAACCAACAGACTTTGAGTAAGATATTATGTGTTGGGTTTTAAAAAAATATTTATTTATTTTCATCTACTTGAAAGGGAGAATGTGAGACAGATATATATAGAGGGGGGGGGAGGGAGAGGGAGGGAGGGAGGGAGACAGAGACAGAGAGAGAGAGAGAGGGAGATTTTTCATTCTCCGGTTTACTCCTAAATGCCCACAATAGCCAGGACTAGGTCAGGCCAAAGCCAGGAGTCAGGAACTCCATCCAGTCTCCTATATGAGTATCAGGGACCCAAGTCCTACAAGCCATCATCTGCTGCCTCCCAGGGTGCACATTAACAAGAAGCGGGATTGGAAGCAGAGGTGGGACGTGAACCCAGGCACTCTAATATGGGACGTAGGTGCTCCAAGCTGTGGCTTAGCCAGCTGTTGCCACCAGGTCCACTCCATTCCAGCACACTTCTGCCACCCCGTAAAGAAACTTTGTATTCCTGCTTCCTGTCTACCCCATGGCTACCATGAATTCACTTTTTCTCTATGTGTTTGTGTTTACCTATTCTGGACATTTCATATACATGGAATAATATAATATAGCCCTCTGCATTTGGGTTCTATCACTCAGCAAAATGTCTTCAAGGTTCATCCTTGTGGAGTATGTGTCAGACCTTTGTTCCTTTTATGGCTGAACAATGTTCCACTGTATGTGAGCAGGCATTTGGTGCAGTGGTTGAGATGTCGCCCACATCCCACACTGGAGTGCCTGGATTTCAGCCCCAGCTCTGCTTCCATCCAACTCCAGCTTTCTGTCCCTGCGCATCTTGGGAGGCAGCAGCGATGGCCTAAGTAGTTAGGTCCCTGCCACCCGCGTGGGAGTTCGAGGTTCCTAGCTTCAGCCCGGCCCAGGGGCAGCTCTTGAGAGTGCTTAGCAAGTGAACCAGCAGGTAAAAAATCCCTGTCTCTGTTTCTTTGCATTTCAAAATACATATTTATAAAAATATAAATATTTTAGATTTTATATGAATTATATATTAATATTTTATATATATGTATATATAAAATCTCACTATATGGAGAGATTGCATTTGGTGAGCTTAGAAGCAGATATTCCCCAAGTCAAGCCTTCAGATGAGACCACAGCCCCCGCTCCAACACTTTCAGTGCGACCTCATGACACTCTGGGCCACAGGCCTCCCTCTCAGCTGCACCTGCATTCCCAACCCACTGAAAGAGTGAGATTTTAGTTTTTGGTTTTGGTTCCTTGAACATGAGGATGTCAGTAACCCAAGAACAAACCATAGCCAGGAAGAAAGTACACACACACTTAGGACCCAGAGTCATGAAGGAGAGGAAGGTCTGGGGGCAGGCAGAGTCCCCTCAGGCGCTGCGACCCCTGCTGACCTCCCATGGAGATGGTCTTTACCGCCTGTGTCCTGCATCCTAGTTATTATTTTGGGAAACACTGATTTTTTGATGCTGCACATTTTCAATCTGACACTTTCTCATGAGCGAATCAATCTTTTTAATAGGAGAAAAACCCAGCACAATCCAGTTCCCACTTTCCTTAACAGTGGCCATGATCGCCAGCTCTGTGTGGTATTTCCTTTAGTGCTTCTCCCTTCCTGCAAGACCCCCTCTTTTTAGCAGTCACCCCCCACAGTCACCTCAGGCGCCCTCTGGCCTCACCTCCCAGCTGTCTGCCCACCACTGTCAAGCTTCTGGAAGACAGACTAGGTTCAAGTCGCAGGCAGGTGCTGGTCTATGGTGGGAGACAATGACTAATGTGACAGCCATTCGCTGTTTCCAGGCTGTATGTGAGCACCCTGTTGTGAGTCATTAGGGGTCTGTAACCTAAAGGTAGTTGTGGTGCTGAGTCGCTGCCTGGCCAACCAATGCAGCAGACACAGTGGAACCAGGACCAGACAGCTCGGCAGAACCAGCAGCAGGGCTACATGATGGGAGTGGGCGCCCCAGCAAGCTCTGAGGCAGATGCTAGCCCAGATGCCGACGGGGTCAAGCTGACCACAGATGTGTAAGCAAGCTGGGACTTGTGAATTAGCCTCTGAAATTATTTCTTTTTCTTTTTTCTTTTCTTTTCTTTCTTTTTTTTTTTTTTGACAGGCAGAGTTAGACAGAGAGAGAAAGAGAGAGAGACACAGAGAAAGGTCTTCCTTCCGCTGGTTCACCCCCCAGATAGCTGCTACGGCCGGCACGCTGCACCGATCTGAAGCCAGGAGCCAGGTGCTTCCTCCCGGTCTCCCATGCGGGCGCAGGGCCCAAGTACTTGGGCCATCCTCCACTGCCTTCCCGGGCCACAGCAGAGAGCTGGACTGGAAGAGAAGGAATCGGGACAGAACTGGCGCCCCAACTGGGACTAGAACCCGGGGTGCCGGTGCCGCAGGCAGAGGATTAGCCAAGTGAGCCATGGTGCCGGCGTGAAATTATTTCTTTTAAGCAGAGACCAAACACGTAGGAAGACTCTTCCTTTTCTTATTTTTTTTTTTTTAAAGATTTCTTTTATTCATTTCAAAGGCACAGTGAGAGAGAGAGAGAAAGAGATACTTTCCATCTGCTGGTTTACTCCCAAAATGTTCGCAATGGCCAGGGCTGGGCCAGACTGAAGCCAGGAGCCAGAGGCTTCCTCCAGGTCTCCCATGTGGGTACAGGGACCCAAGCACTTGGGCCATTTTCTTGCATTTGCAAGAAGCTGGATCAGAAGTGGAGCAGCTGAGACTCTAATTGGTGCCCATGTGGGAATGCTGACACAGCATGTGGTGGCCTCATCTGTTACACTACAACGCTGGCCTCTTCTTTCTCATAAATAAATATGTGCTAAAATATCTTAGCTCTTTGATTTACCTTTTGTTTCCCCCTTTTGATAGATTCATGGATCCAGAGAAACCTATCTCCACTCTATGAAAGCCATGAAGCAGGAGTGATGATAAAGGATAACTGAATTCAGCCTTAGGAATGGGGAGGGTCAAGGTCTGTGGTGAATTGGAAAGTGCCTGCCCCATCCTGGGGCAGCCCTTACTCCATATGGAATTGCTGTCACATAGGAATGGCTGCCTGGGGGCCGGCGTTGTGGTGCAGCAGGTAAAGCCGCTGCACGCAACACTGGCATGGCACATGGGCAATGGATTGTGTTCTGGCTGCTCCACTTCCAGTCCAGTTCCCTACTAATGTGCCTGAGGAAGCAGTGGAGGATAGCCCAAGTCTTTGGGCCTCTGCATCCACATGGGATACCCAGATGAAGCTCCTGGCTCTTGGCTTCAGCCTGGTTCAGTCCTGCCCATTGTGGCCATCTGAGGAATGAACCATTGGGTGGAAGATTTCTCGCTCTCTCTCTCTCTCTCTGTGCATGTAACTCTGACTTTCAAATAAATAAAAATCAGTCTTAAAAAGAGAAAGGGGGTGGGCACTGTGGTGTAGTGGGTAGAGCCGCCACCTGCAGTGCTGGCATCCCATATGGGCGCCGGTTCGTCCTGGCTGCACCACTTCCAATCCAGGTCTCTGCTATGGTCTAGGGAAAGCAGTAGTAGGCCCAAGTAGAAAGCTTGGGCCCCTGCACCCAAATGGGAGACCTGGAAGAAGCTCTTGGCTCCTGGCTTCGGATCAGCCTAGCTCCAGCTGTTACAGTCAACTGGGGAGTGAACCAGCAGATGGAAGACCTTTCTCTCTTTCTCTGCCTCTTCTTCTCTCTCTGTGTAACTCATTCAAATAAATAAATAAATCTTCGGGGCCAGCGCTGTGGCACAGCGGGTTAACGCCCTAGCCTGAAGCGCTGGCATCCCATATGGGTGCTGGTTCAAGACCCAGCTGCTCCACTTCCAATCCAGCTCTCTGCCATGGCCTGGGAAAGCAGTAGAAGATGGCCCAAGTCCTTGGGCCCCTGCACCCACGTGGGAGACCCCGAAGAAGCTCCTGGCTCCTGGCTTCGGATTGGCACAGCTCCGGCTGTTGTGGCCAATTGGGGAGTGAACCAATGGATGGAAGACTCTCTCTCTCTGCCCCTCCTCTCTCCGTGTAACTCTAATAAATAAATAACTCTTTTAAAAAAAGAGAGAGAGAAAGAATGGTGGTCTAGTAATGGTGAGATCTAGTAATTTTTCAAAAGAAACTAGAAGTCTAGATTTCTAAGAAGTGATCGCCCCTCCCCAATATTTTAGTGTCATTTTGATGTTTTCAAGACACAGTGGACCTGAAGGAAACACGTGTTACCTGTGGTCATGACTGGTTCTTGCACTGACCACTTATCAGCATCACCTTTGGTGTAGAGTAGGCTAAAGCAGAAGCTACAGAGACAGCGAAGTGAAGACAAAGGTGACTAAGAGGGGCAGAGCACAAGGCCTTGCTCAGTTGCCTTTACAGCCACATGGGAATCCCAGCGCTTGCCCTGGGCAAGGACACACGCCTGGGTAAGAAGTGCCCCACCCAAGCCCGGGCCCCTCTAGTCCTCAGGCCTTTCTTCCTGTCACGCTCATTCGACCTGTTAAATGCCAACACACACACACACAACTCTTAACTGGTGTCTCCACTCCAGCTTTCTTCCCTGGGCATCAGATTCCTGGATCTAAATGCCTGCCATCTCCACTTGGACGTCCGACAGGGGCTTCAAATGACCGGGCCCACATAGGCACCTTGTCCTGAATGCTTCCCGCACACCTTGTCTTCCCCAAGTCCATAAATGGCTTCAAATGCTCCTGTCGCTCATGGCAAAAAATTAGGATTTCTTTCTTCACACTCTACATCCTGTCAATGTTTTGTTCAAAATACTTCCCAGCCTGACACACCCTCACCACCCCCAGGTGCCCAGCACCTCTGGTCACACTCAGAAGAGTCCCCTGCTTCTCTTCACCACCCTCCATGGTAAACGTTCCACAAAGCAGTCGGCAGGTTTGGAAAGATACACATTGTTCAGATCTTAGCAGTTTGCTCCTTAAAAGTCTTCCGACCATTTCACAAATCCAGAACGGTTCTTCCCATGACTCCTGGGTGCTGAGTCTTCCCAGGACTCCCTTCTGCACTGCCTTAGGCTGCTGCTTCTCACACAGCCTTTGCTGACTAACCTTGGAAACGCTCTCCCTCCTTTCACCATCTGATTTTTGCACTCTACCCCTTTCTTTACTCTTTCCTTTTTCTTCTAAGCACTCATTCTATTGCTACATCTGCTGCTGCCTGTCTCCAGGAACATGAGCCAAATGATATTTAGAACGATATACTCTCCCAGCCTAGTCCTGTGGCCAGCACATAATAGGTGCTCAGCAAGTATATGCACAGCTGGCAGGACAGGCGTAGGCCCATTTGGAAACGTCCAATAAGTAGCCCAAGCCACAGCCTGATGCAGTTGTTCACTGGGAAGGTTACTCACTGATTGAGGAAGGCAAAGAGGTATCTCATGATAATCAGAGTGGTCTGGGGCAGGACCAGGAGGACTTTCCGGATGTGCAGAGCTCTCTCCTGTAGGTTGTCCATAGCTGAAAGAACAAAGTCATGTGTTACCCTCACTGTAGCGAGAGCTCAGGGAGTAATGGCCAGAAGCCCCTGACTATCAGCAGGCTAAACACGGAGAGCACTAGATCGAGCCAACACACAGCACTGGTGCACAGTGATAGCAGTTTCAGCCCTGTTGCTCCCTGGGGTGGGCTGCCATGAGGAGCACATGCTGAGTTCCAGATACTGACTGATGTCAGAGTCCTGGGGCACAGAAGAGGTTGGCCATGACCCTCTTAGTCAACAATGACAGAAAAGGAGCTGTCCATAAACCTGTCTGGACTGCTCAACACCCAGCCTTGGAGGGCCAGCATCTGGAGAGAGAGACTGTGCAGGTCTCCCCACTCCACACACGTGTCACCTCATTCTCTGAACAAATCTGCCTTATTTTCCTCTTCTCTTATCTGCAACATAGATGAGTAGATTATGGCCAGAGGTAGGAGAAGGTATACCGGGTACAGAGGCATCCAGGAAGACCAAAGCTTCCTGACTCTTGTGCTGTGTGGAAAGGTTAGTTACAGGTAAGGCCCGAGGCCTGTGGGCTCCATCATGGGCAGCCTCCCACTTCCGCAGTGTCATGTTCTATGGGTGCTCTTACACGGAAAAGAAATGCAAAGTACTGAATTAGAAGTAAGAGTATGTTTCTTACTGGGCAGTCAAGGGATTTTAAACTGTCTTGGCAACCCCAGTACAGCTTAAGATAATCACTGTGCCCAGTCCTGGAAAGACATGAAGACATGACCCAAGAGTTACGTGTAAGGGGTCGGTGCTGTGCCGTAGCAGGTTAAGCTGCCATCTGCAGCACTGGCATCCAATATGGCACTGGTTCAAGTCCCTGCTGCTCCACTTCTGATCCAGCTCCCTGCTAGTGCGACTGGGGAGGCAGTAGAAGATGGCCCAGGTACTTTGGTGCTTGTACCTACGTGGGAGACCTGGAAGAGGCTTCTGGCTCCTGGCTTCACATCAGCTCAGGTCTGGCCGTTGCGGCCATTTGGGGAGTGAACCAGCGGATGGAGACCTCTTTTTCTTTCTCTGCCTCTGCCTCTCTGTAACTCTGCCTTTCAAATAAATAAAGTACTTAAAAAAAAAAAAAAAAAAAAGAGGTGCATGTAAGAGCGATCTTCAAAAAGTTTATGGAAAGGTACACTATGAGAAGACTTCCCATTTTTTCTTGTATCAAAATAAATATCTTTTAATTCCATTTTCCATGAGCTTTTCGAAGTCCCCTCCTACTTAAGTGTGCATATAACTCATTTCTACTAGATTCCTACAATCAGGAGTGGACCAAAAACAAGAGAGCTAGCTTCCTGAATGCTCCAGGGATTTCTCTCTCAGAATAACAGGGAGCACCACGTGCTCAGGCACATGGAGAGTGCTCAGGGCACATGGAGAGCGCTCAGGGACGTGCTGACCCTGGGCAACCAGAGGGAAGGATCCTTTCTCCATTTCAAAGGCACTGCTCCCTTCAGCCTTTGGGCCATCGGTCAGATGGGGTCTGCTTCCGGGATGATTTGATATTAACTCAACTTTACACAGATTGTTTTCCAGGGAAAACAAATGAGAGGATGTTCCAGTTTCACAAGCTAAACTAAATGTCTAGTGTCTTTCTCTTTCTGGGAAAACAGCATATTACTACTTTTAAATGCATAGAAGGATTCTATTCCTAGAAGAACACATATTAATACATCTAGACTGTATGCTATGTCATGTTCTTTTGATTTTAAAATATATATATTTATTCAAGAGACAGAAGGACAGAGAAACAGAGGGACAGAGAAACAAAGAGAGACAGAGAGGGAGAAAGAGAGAGAGGGAGGGAGGGGGAGGGGGAGGGGGAGGGGGAGGGGGAGGGGGAGGGAGAGGGGGAGGGAGAGGGAGAGGGAGAGGGAGAGGGAGAGGGAGAGGGAGAGGGAGAGGGAGAGGGAGAGGGAGAGGGAGAGGGAGAGGGAGAGAGAGAGATCCTATCTGCTGGTTAATTTCCCAAATGTCTGTGATGGCTGAGGCTGGGCTGCAGCTAAAGTGAGGAGCCCAGACTTTAACCCAGGTCTCCCAGGTCTCTCATGTGGGTAGCAGGAACTTGGCATCACAGTTGCCTCTTAGAGTCCGTATTAGCAGGAAGCCGGAATCAAGAGCCAGAGGTGAGTATTAAACCCAGGCACTCCAATATGAGATGCAGGTGCTTTAACTGCTAGGCTAAAAACCTCTCCCCATGCCATGTTTAAAGCAATAAATATCTGTGGGGCCAGCGCTGTGGCATAGCAGGTAAAGCTGCTGCCTGCAGTGTCAGTATCCCATATGGGCACCAGTTCAAGTCCTTGCTGCTCCAATTCTGATCCAGCTCTCTGCTATGGCCCGAGAAAGCAGTGGAAGATGGCCCAAGTCCTTGGGCCTCTGCAACCATGTGGGAACCTGGAAGAAGCTCCTGGTTTCAGATTGGCCCAATTCTAGCCATTGTGGCCATTTGGGGAGTGAACCAGTGGATGGAGGACCTCTCTCTTTGTTTCTACCTCTGCCTCTCTGTAACTCTGCCTTTTTTTTTTTTTTTTGACAGGCAGAGTGGACAGTGAGAGAGAGAGACAGAGAGAAAGGTCTTCCTTTGCCGTTGGTTCACCCTCCAGTGGCCGCCGCGGCCAGCGTGCTGTGGCCGGCGCACTGCGCTGATCCGATGGCAGGAGCCAGATACTTATCCTGGTCTCCCATGGGGTTCAGGGCCCAAGCACTTGGGCCATCTTCCACTGTACTCCCTGGCCACAGCAGAGAGCTGGCCTGGAAGAGGGGCAACCGGGACAGAATCTGGCACCCCGACCGGGACTAGAACCCGGTGTGCCGGTGCCACAAGGAGGAGGATTAGCCTAGTGAGCCGTGGCGCAGGCCACTCTGCCTTTCAAATAAATAAATCTTTAAAATAAAAAAGGAGCTAAATATAATTTTGTTTAAAAAAGAAATATTTGCAACACTTATTCTTTTTCCTCTTGTAACATATATTGAAAATGATATATTTATTTATTATTTTTTTAAATAGACATTTATTTATTTGAAAGAGTTACACAGAGAGAGAGAGAGAGAGGTCTTCCATCCTCTGGTTCACTCCCCAGTTGGCCACAATGACAGAAGCTGCACTGATCTGAAGCCAGAAGCCAGGGGCCAGGAGCTTCTTCTTGGTCTCCCACTTGGGTGCAGGAACCAAAGTACCTGGGCCATCTTCTACTGTGTTCCCATAGCAGAGAGCTGGATCGGAAGTAAAGCAGCTGAGACTCAAACTGGTGCCCACATGGGATGCTGGTACTGCAGGTGGCGGCTTTACCCACTACGCCACAACACCAGCCCCTTATTTATTTATTTGAAAGTCAGAGTTACACAAAGAGAGGGACAGAGAGATCTGCTGTTGATTCATTTCCCAGATGGCCACAATGGCCAGGGCTGGTCCAAGCTGAAATCAGGAGCCAGGAGCTTCGTCTGGGACTTCAACTTGAGTGGCAGGGGGCTATCTCCCCCTGCTTTCCCAGGTGTATTACCAGGAAGCTGCATAGGAAGTAGAGCAGCTGGAACATGCGCTGGCGACCACTGTGGAATGCCAGCATCCCAGGTGGCAGCTTTACTAGCTACACCACAATGCCAGCCAGGACTAGGTTTTAAAGGTGAATGTAAAGGTATTTTACAAAAGGAAGAGAAAGCCCAGAGAAGTAAAGGATTTTACATTGAGGAGAATCAGGAGGAAGATGTCAGGATGGGCATTTAGGGCAGGCTCGCATCCCACATTGGAGCTCCTGGTTTAAGTCCTGGTGCTTCCACTTCTGATTCTAGCTCTCTACGAGTGTATACTCTGGGAGGTAGCAGGTGACAGCTCAAGTGGCTGGGTCTCTGCCATCCACGTGGGAAACTCGGACTGAATTTGGGGCTCCCAGTTTTGGCGTGGTCCAGCCCTGGCTATTGTGGGCATTTGAGGAGTGAACAGCAGGTGGAGGATCCCTCTGTGTCTGCTTGTTTGTTTCTATTTCTCTTTCTGTCTTTCAAATCAATTAGTTATTTTTTAAAAAGGAAGGAAAAAGCCAGGTTTCATTACTTGGGGATACACTGAAAAGTCATTCTTCCTGCTTCCCCACCAGGGGCTGAAGCCGTGAGGACGAAGATAAGAAACTACACTGGGGAAGGCTTGTGAGAAAACGGAGACCCATGGAAGTTGTGATCTCTTGCTAGCAGGCACTCTGGCCCAGAATACCGTGAGGTCAGGGTGGTACTTACTGACGCAGGCCATCAGGTCGTGGAAGATGTCCTTAGGGAAGAGAGGGTGTTCCAGCCCCCGGAAGTAAAGCTTCAGGACACCTGCGATGGAGTCCATGTCATGGTCATTCTGGTCGCCAGCCAGGGGGTCCTCTCCTGAGGATAAGCAACCCCCCCAAAAAGGGAAGGAGAGTTAGAGGCAAAAGCACAAGATGAGCAGTACTGGCAGGGAAGGGGTGAGTTATTTTTGACGTCATTCCAGTCCGTCGGCCTTCTGCCCAGCATGGTGGCCATGAGTAGACTACACCAGGGAATACATAAAGTAGACTGCTCGGGCCATCATTCCCATGGGCTAGGGTGGAGACATAGTGCTGCCTCTCTTATAAGAACCATGAAACCAGGCTGAGACTGAGTCCCTGGGGGAGAAAAATGAGGCCAAGGAGGCCAGCTCCTCTGACTAGCTCTCGCTCTTCCTGGGCCGCCACAAAAGACACCTACTTACAGGAGAACAATCATGCCGAAGCTCCCCATGGAAAATTTCATATCAGATGTAATTAGATTTAATGATAGGCCCAACCTCAAATTGAAACTATATATATCCATTACAGTGACGGAAATTGCCAAAGCTTGCCCATTACCTTAATAGCCCACAAGATAATAAATGGGCTACAATGAAGAGGCGCATTAGCCTTGATATTAACTGCCACCCAGAGTTCCGGGTGAAGCTGTAAACCGCCCAGATATCATAGTTAACTTCTTGGGTTTTGGCAGGTCACTCGAAAGGAGCGAGGCAGAGTGGGTGGGGCCGAGAGGGAAGGGGAGGGGGCTGGGATGTGCCTGGGCATCTCTGCATATCCAAGGGGGAGGGGCACGAGACAGCAGTCACCCAGCTGGCTTGCCAAGCTCTGGGGACCTCTCAGGGCAGAAAGGGTAGAATGATACTCCTCGGGGCTGGTAAACATTTGGTCTCATCTCCAAGGCTGTTTCCTCACCTCTCTCAAAAGCATTTTTGATGTCATTCACTTCCACCTGGGATCCCGACACCCGGAAAATTCCTTCATGCTGTAATCCTAGACACACACAGGGAAAAGAGATCAAGGAGAAGCAGCAGCAAATCCACCAGCACAGTGCCAAGTTTAGCTGAATGCCTACCTCCCCCACAGCCAGTGCGCATTTAAGCACAGCCTCCTCTTCAGGCTAAAGCAGAAAGCATGTGCAAGGATGTGGAAAAGTCACTGGGGCATCTCGAGGCATTAACCTCAAGAAAGCACTGAGTCGAGACAGCCGGCTCCGCTTCCGACCCCGAGGCCTATGACGAGGCAGGTTTCCTCCCCTTGCCGGTGCCTCTCGGTTCCCTCCGATAAAGTGGGAGTACGAAGCACCCATAGGTGTTTTCATGTCACCCGGTGTCAAGACAAGAAATGGGCGATGGCAGGCACGACATCAGGTCCTACCAGAGGAGTTTCTTAAGGTCTGAGATTATAATTATCGGTTTAGCTGTTCTAACAGTGTGTGTTCTAGGCGTCAATGCTTCCAGTAACCATGAAAAAAGGACATGGAAACATTAGTGATCGTTTCACAGACAGCACTGCCACACTGTGCTAGGCGATGGGCCCTTACTGCAGCTTTATCCTAAAGACAGACGTCATGAATAATGTGCACAAAAACCTTGTTTTCTTGGGTTTTGTTAGAATAGAAATAATCATGGAAAAGTAATGCTTATATAGTGAGGGGAGCCAATAGATGGTTTTATATAAATAAGTCACTTGGTTCTCATAAGAACTGACCACCCAATAACAAGCAGAGGTGAGCAACAATCCCATGTCCTGGACGAGAGGCTAAGTGATGACCAGGAAACAGGAACCGGGGCTAGGACTCAAACCTAGGCCTGTGGCTGTAGCTGTGTACCCAGTCCTCAACGCCACGCTTGCGAGGCCTATGAGATGCAGTGCAGAGAAGGCAGAAGCCACACTGGTCAGTCTGAATACAGACATGGGGAACAAGCACCATGCATGCCCTGTAGTCAGTGAGAAATCCAGAAAGCCCCGCCATAGCGCCAGGCCCAGGGGCTGGAGGGAACTAGCATCTCCGATTGCATCAGGACACACGCAGGAGCCTAGTCTTTCCCAGGAGCCGAGTCTCAGTCTTGGGCATTTTGTCAAAATCCCTCCATTACGGTAAAATTGTTCCAAAATCTTGCCAGGTCAGAGAAATCTCAAATCTATTGTAGTACGCTCCACTTTACCCACAGGGTTGATCTCTCAGTGTGGGGGCAGCTGGAGGCTATTTACCAGACACAGGCCAGGACTGAAATTCTGGATCTGCTTGAAACAGCACTGTGAAGTAAGCAGAAGGAATATGACTACCTGGCCTGTACCAGCACTTATTCTGTCTGCTCTTCTAAGGGAATCTCCAAAATATTCCTCACAGGATGGCGGGCAATGTTAAAATCCCATTAGGACCAGTGTAATAGGACTATATTAGTTACCGACGGGATGTAAGAGCCAGATAGTGTTGTTCAGTGAGGGCCAGATAACGCTGTTCAAACACAGAATGCAAACAGCAAGTGCCCTGTGGAAACAGCCACATTGCAGTGACTTGTGAGAAATGCATATAAGGAAACGTCACCTCCGAGACCAGGCTATTCAGTGTGTTCCAGCTGGTGGTCACTGCACAACGTCTCCTGAGGAGGCGCATCTCATTCGACCTCCATGGAGAAGCAGACTTGGCCCATGGAGAACAGGAGACTGGAGAGTTCCTGGCCATCAGGCAGCAGGCTGGGGAGCTCTCCTGCTGGCTTGTTTCACCTCAAGAACCTAGGCTATGGGACAAACCCTGGGTGCTCTTGCTCGACGGACAGAATCTTTATAGCACCTACTCTGATGATTCAGAAACTAAGAGCATTAATAATGGGCTAGTTTCCAGAAAGTAAAAGGGAAAATCAGTTGCTTTCTATTATAATGCAGGCAAATCCTTGTATAATCAAACTGACAAACATCCATGATCTTTTAAATTCTTTTTTAATGTACACTAACATTTTTAAAAAATTTTATTTAAGGTATACAAATTCCATGTATTTCCTATATACAGATTTAGGAACACAGTGATACTTCCCATCCTACCCTTCCTCCTGCCTACACGCCCACCCTTCTTCCTCCTCCCTCTCCTATTCTCATTTTTAATTTTCTACAAAGATCTATTTTCAGTTTATTTATACTCATAAGGTTAACCCTTCAGCTAAATAAAGCTGTATGAAGGAAAAAAAAAAAACCTGCTGTTCTTCAACAGTCAGGACAAGGGCTGTAAACAATCATCAAGTCTCAAAATGTCAATTTCATTCATATAGATACCTTTTAGGTACTCTATTAGTTACCACAGTTTGGGGAAAACATATGGTATTTGTCTTTCTGAGACTGGCTTATTTCACTAAGTATAACGGTTTCCAGTGGCATCTATTTTGTGTATATATATATATATATATATATATATATATATATATATATAAAACACAAATATATGCAAGCCACCAGACTTGGATAATGTATTTGGAAATGGCACAAGACTTTCCATTTTGTGCTAGATCCAGCTGTTACTAAGAGCTCCCCTTGACATTTCTGAAATTGCTACGACCACCCCACCACGCACACAAGGCTTTGCTTCCTTCCTCAAGAAAACAGGGCTTGTTTCTTCCCCAACATGATTCAATTTCAGTAGTTCCTCACATCCCTTCTCCCCCTGTGGTCTTCCTGGGTCATCCTGACCACCATTTACAGAGGAACTGCAGCTTTTCCGTCTCTATAACTGGGATTGTAATATCTACCTCCTGAGGGATATGAGGACAGTGAGGATGTGAGAACTCCCAGCACACGGTAGCCACTGACCCTTCTGAGAATGAGCAAAGTTATGAGCCCTATCCCCACTAAATGTATACACAAAAATTTTAACCATAGTTTTTTTGGGATTTCATGAATACTATGAGCCTCTATTTGGAAAAAATAGAATTTGACTGAACAAATGTCTTTTGAGCAGCTACTTTATCCTGCTTTTTTTTCCAATCAATAATGTACTTTTTTGCTCAATTCTAGAATACCCTATAAATAGTTTCAGAATTGCTAACCCATACTGCTGTGATAAAAAAAGATATTCACTACCAGGGTGGGCATTTAGTCTAGCAGCTAGAGCTCAGGTTATGATGCCTGCATCTCATGTAGCAATATCAGAGTTCAGTTCCAAGATCCAGCTCCTGACCCCAGCTTCCTACTAGTGCAGACCCTGGGAGGCAGCATTAACAACCCAAGTAATTGGGTCCCTGCTACCCACACGGGAGGCCTGAATTAAATTCCCAGCTCCCAGCGTTGGCCATCAGGCCATTGCAGACATTCAGGGGAGTGAACCAGCAAACAGATGGAAGCCACTCTGTGTCTCTCAAGTAAATACAAATTTAAAATTACTATGACATAATCTATACAATATTTTTTTACAATATTTTTCACCTTTAGGTTTCTAGTATATAGTTAGAACATCTTTCCAAGGGTTTTTAGGTTGGTTGTTTTCTTTCTCATTCGCCTATGGCAGGGCTACAGAATACTGGTCAGTGGGCCATACAGGGTCTGAGAAATCTCTGGGTCTGGCCCTGCCAAGGCAATAGCAGGCAGGATTCAAAATTCAATAAATCTATAGCAGGCTAATTTTTAAGCTGATCATCTTGTATGGCCTGTGAATGATGTTATAAATGCCCAAATGGCCCCTGGCAGATAAAAGGTTCCCCACCCCTCCCCTACAGTGTGGCTGTGTTCTTTTGTGATATAGTTAGATTTATTTGTTACTTGTCCATTCCATTTTGGGTTTAACCCACATCTTGGATTTAGTTATTTTCCATTTCAATTTAGAAAACACTAATATAGTCCAAAAAGTCAAAACAACACAAAGACGTACGCTCAAAAAAAGTCATTCCTTCCCCAAGCCCCACTGTTCTCATCTCTGTCTCACCATCCCTGTATACAACTAATCTTGCATTGGTTTCTAGATTTGTTCTTCCTACATTTCTTTCTGAAGAAATGAGGGAAATAATGTCTATCTTTATATCCTCTTCTTTTGTAGCACACTACAGATATTCCTGGCATTTTGTTTTTTCACTTAACAATATACCCTGGGGCACTGTCTATTTCAGTCCATGGAGATCATCCTCACTCTTCCCTCACAGTGGCATAGTAGTCCACTGAATGGATATACCATAGTTTTTTCAACCACTCTTCTACGTATGGACATCTGGGTTGTTTTCAGTATTTTCCAGTTACAAATCATGCCACAAAAAATAAACTTGTACATATGTTGAAAGTACATCTTCATGGCAAATTCCTAGAAAGATTGCTGGTTCTGAAGATAAGTGTATATGCAGTTTTGTTAGATACTACCAAATTCCCTTCTAAAAGGGTGGCACTGGGGCTGGTGCTGTGGCATAGCAGGTAAAGCTGCCGCCTGCAATGCTGGCATCTCATATGGGCACTGGTTTGTGTCCCGGCTGCTCCACTTCTGATCCAGCTTCCTGCTGAAGGCCTGGGAAAAGCAGCAGAAGATAGCTCAAGTGCTCTGGGCCCCTGCTATCCATGTGGGAGACCTGGAGGAAGCGCCTGGCTCCTGGCTTTGCCTGGCTCAGCCCTGGCTGTTGTGGCCATCTGGGGAGTGAACTGGTGCATGGAACACTTCTTTCTTTCTGTCTCTACCTCTCTCTAACTTTGACTTTCAAATAAATAAATAAGTCTTAAAAAAAAAGGCATAGTACTAGTTTGCATTTTCAACAATACACAAGCATGCTTGTTTTTCAAGGGTCACACTGCAGAAATGTGCTAAATTTTAGTCTCCTTATGCACTGTGCCTGCACAGGGGCAGAGACAGGATATTAAAGCCCCAGTAGCCAGAACCCATCTACTTCTCAGCTAATACCAAGCTAACACCCTAGCCTAAGCAACATCATGTCTTCTTATAGCAACTATTCCTGCTTCCTCATAGTATCTATACAGCAGCCCAGGAGCCTTTAAAAAGGTGACTCCTTGTTCAAAATTCTCCAGTGGCTTCCCACCTCACTCAGAATAAAATCCAAACACCTGCCTTAGCTGATGGGACAGTAAGAATCCGGCCTCTGGCCTCTGGCTTCATCCCCTGTCACTCTCTACTCACTGCACGCCAGCCATGCAGGCCTCCGGTTCCTAGCTCTTGTCAAGGGTCTCTGCACTTGATGCCAAAGTATCTTTCCAAGACACTGTTCCATACACAGCCACGTGGCTCATTCCCCATGACCCTGCTCAAATGTCGCCTTGACAAACCCAGGACTTTCCCCTGAACCTGTCTAGAACAGTGTCCGCTCTCCATTCTCCACTTTCTCACCTTGCTTCTCTTTTCTTCAGGACACTCACCAACATCCAAAATACTTGTATTTTATATAAATTTGTTTATTTATTACTGGTCATCTGTTTATCTGTCCTTCAACGGAAGGCGAACTTCATGAAGGCAGGGACACCTTATTGGCTCCTAATAAGCAATCAATGTGTTGAATGAGTGAAATGCATGGATGAATGAAGAGTTCAGAGCTTCTTCCTATTGTTCTTCAGGCACAAATAATTCCTTCTCTGAACTCACTGTGAACTTATTTTTGCCAACTACTTGGCCATTAATCATTACTATCTATTCTGAATTACCACAGCTTATCTCTTCTCATTTAGCTTACCACTTGCTTACTTTCTCTCAACTGCATCAGAAAATCACTCAAAGGCAGGAATAGTGTATCACTCCAGTTTTTGTTTTCCTACTTGGCAATGCAAGGTGCCCAGCACTGGTTAGGAGTTTGATAAATATTTGATGACTAATCAGTAGTGAAGTACAATGTTGTTAACTTTAAATTAATAGAGATAAGATTAACAAATTATAGCTGATTTGAATGGGGTAGGGTTATAAATATGCTGAAATAATTCCTGTTCCAAAAATGAACTTAAGAAATGTTCCAAGGCCAGTGCTGAGGCATAGTGGGTAAAGCCACCGCCTGCAGTGCCAGCATCTCATATGGGTGCCAGTTCGAATCCCAGCTACTCCACTCTGACCCAGCTTTCTGCTATAGCCTGGGAAAAGTAGTGGAAGATGGCCCAAGTGACTGGGCCTTTGCACCCATGTAGGAGAACAGGAGGAAGCTCCTGGCTCCTGGCTTCGGATTGGCCCAGCTCTGGCCATTGCGGCCATTTGAGGAGTGAATCAGTGGATGGAAGATCTGTCTCTCTCTGCCTCTGCCTCTTTGTAACTCTGCCTTTCAAATAAATAAATCAATTAAAAAAAAGAAAGGTTCCAGTTTATAGGGAGAGTGGCTGGCAAGTGGAGGGAGAGAGGATGGCTGCCTCTGAATTGAGACAAGTGATCACAATTGTACCTCCTTCGCTCCAAGAAGGTTATTCTGTCTCTTTTCCTGTCCAGACTGAACAGCATCAAAAAACAACTTCTGATGCCCAGTTGTTAGAAATCTTTATGGCACGAGTTCAGATATCTGTACTTTCTAGACACTCTAACATTTGGAAAATCAATTCTCTGGCAATGATTTCCATTCCTAAGTTCTGTCCAACCAGACCAGTGGCTGGTGAGGAACGGAGCTTTGTCCAAGCTGAAGATAACTGTGATTTGCCTTAGGCTGAGAAAGAGTCGGCCCCTGTGGACTCTCCAATGTTATATATAACTGAGCTCTTGGGGACCTTGAATTCAGTGAGGTCAAAGCAGAAAACAAAATAAAAAACACAACTGAGTGTTATTAGGCGCCGGTACAGCATTAGAAAAAGAGCTTTTCCCAAACCAATCCGGTACAGAAAGCCAAAGTGACAAAAAATGGTCAGGCTGTGGTAAGGGAGATACCTGCCCATGCAAAGACCATGAGTAATGGTGAAACCACCCCCCCCCACCACCACCACGTAATACCAGCTGCACTCACATAGCAGCTAGAATTTAAAACCCACTCTCAGACTAGAAAATGGAATGTGGTAACTAGCTGGGGCATTCTGGGTCAAAACATATGATGTCTTTCTCTAGGTGTGGCCATTCTGGGGTGGCAAACATGCTGTGAACAAATAAGACTTTATTCCTTTTCTGAGAACGTGGAGATGGGAAGTCAATCTCTATTCTTACTCTACAAAGAATTCCTGGAAGTGCTTCCCAATCTTTGTACAAATATGGGCGAGGCGATAATCCTGCTTACCGTGCCTGCTGATAAACCGGATACAGCTTTCTACCACCAGAGGAATTGCCTGGCCCGAGTCCTGAAAAGCCAAAGAGAAACCTAATGTTAGAATCTTCAGATGGGGATGGTGTGGGGTTAGAGAAAATGGGCAACCTGTGCAGAACTTGTCTTGGCCACATCAGGGGTGGTTCACAAAGAAGCACCTCTCCTGTCCTGCAAGCTCCAGGGTGCAAAAACCCAAGCCCCTGCTTGGAATTCCACAGAGATGCCTTAAATACAGCATGTCCAAAATGCAGCCGATCATCTTTGATCGCAAACCAGCTCCCTACCCAGCCATTCAATCAATCAATACATTCTATCAGGTTTGCCTCCTCCATAGCTCTCAAATCCATCTGTTTCCCTCTCACACTGCTGCCACCAATTCAGCTCAGTTCATCAATATCCCAAGTCCCTCTCTTGCCATCCTCCAATCCATGTTTCTCTTCCTTTACAGAGTGGCAAGTCAGTGATCTTTACAAAGTATACGGCTCACCAGTGGAACTCTTTCAGAGACTTCTCCTTACTCCCTTTACACAGCCTTGCATGGCCTGGACCCTTCCTTTGCATTCACTTCCACCTGTGCCCTCACCTTTGCTACAGCCACTGGAGACACTGCTGTCCCTCAGACCAGTCCTGCTTTGCCTTGTGGCTTTGTGTGAGCTGTCCTGCTGTTGACATGCTCTCCTCAGCCCTGTGACTTAATTCTGTACATGTACATATCTGCTTGCCCTTTTTTTTTTTTTTTGATAAAAGAAGGTGAAAGAGGAGGGGGAAAGGAATGCAAACATTAGCCATTACCTATTTTTTTTAATAAAGATTTATTTTATTTATTTGAATCTGTTTGTTTTTGTCACCAGTACAACTCAAGGTGCACAAGAGCAGATCCTACGTCAGTTCCTGGGTGTCCAGTGCTGGCCATGGTACTCTCCCATAGCGGGTATTCAATTAGTATCAGTCAAAGGTAGCAGAATGAGCCAAGCGAGTTCAGAAAGAGGGTTTGATAGCATAAAAGGTAAGGAAGAACAGAAAACCAACTCTTGGAAGCAGCGGCAATTACTTGGTACTAAGCAAAGCAGGCTTCCCAGACATCAACATTGCTTTGTCCTTTTGCTGTACAATCCTGCTTGTGTCATTTAACTACTCTGGGCCTCGATTTGCCTTCTACCAGCTGGGAGGGTGTTGGTGGGGAGAAAAGTAATACTCCCTATTGGCATATGAACATGAGTGCCTGCTGTTTACACAGGAATTTATAGAGGTATTGGGACACATATTAGGTCATTCAGGTAGATTGGTCCTGGGAAAAATTCTCTGGGGATATATATTACATTCTTTTGAAAAATGAGTAAATGAAGGCTTATCAAGGTAAAACAACTATGCATGGTCACACAGCTGGTAAGCAGCACAGTCAGGACTCAAAGGCAGTCATCCTCTGAGACAGAACACTGTATTACACCACTCATACTGCACCCTAGGAGCTCAGCAAACACTGCCAGGCATGCATTCCAACTATTACTAAAGACTAGAAGGGTTTTACAGTGCAGCTAAATTAATAATAATTTAACTGCAGGGAAGAAAAAGATCAGCAAAGGGACCCCAGAGGCCTGGTTACAAAGGGCTTCCGACGTTCAGCATAGAGACTAGACTCTCCGGTGAGATGGGTTCATGTGGCTTCCGCCCACTTCATAGGTTTGCCTGTGCTTCTGAATTTCCAACTGTAGCCATGGGGAATGCCAGCTGTTGGAGACCGCTAGGTTTCATGAAGAAGTTGGGCTGGAGTTTTATTAACTCCACAGGTCCAGAGGGAGGGAGGTTGGGAAGCTTGCAAGTTACTGGCTTCAACAAGTCACATGAGTGCAATATTCTAAGCAGAGATGAGGACACGGAATATCCATGGTAGTTGGAGGTGAGCAAGAAGCAGGCATCAATGACATTAACCTGCATGCGCGTGGTTATCAGTAGCATGTCAGAAGCAGGCCAGAGAGGTCACCTATGGCAGACAAGGGTGGTCAGAGACTGCCTGTCCTCCTGCAGGAGAGTGCTTCCCTAGGCCCTGCTGCTCCAGTAGAGCTAAGATAGAGTCTAGTGGGAATAACTAAGGGACAACGTCACAAAGGCTTTGGTGGCGTCTGCTATCCTCCCTTGTCCCTATAATGTTTCTGAGCTAGGAGTGAATCCATTCCCTGTGGATGTGCCTGTGGCTCCGTAGTGACCCAAAGCCTGGCACTTCACCACTGACCTGCAGACAGCTGACCCCACGGTTGCTCCACATGCTTTTATTACTGACTATACCTATCTTTCCTCTCTCTCATCTCTCCCCCAGTGTTAGAACTGATGCCATGTTAATTGTCTTGTTCAAAATATTTTTGGTTATATGAATATAATCCCAAGGTTGGAAAGACAATCTGGTTAGTTTCCCATCTAACCAGATTAAGAAAACTTTAAACCAAAAGTGGAGGAGGGAGGGTGGCAGGCATAACTCGGAAAAGACAGTAAGGTGGTGGTCCAGGGATTTGCAGGAGAAAACAACTAGGAAGACAGCCAGATAATGCCTACATAGACATTGTTTGGCACATATTTTTTAAAAAAATCTGATTTACTTTTCTTTATTTCAAAGGCACAGAGCCAGAGACAAGGGAAAGAGAGAGAGAGATCTTCCATTTGCTGGTTCACTCCCCAAATGCCTGCAACAGTTGGGGCTGGGACAGGCTGAAGTTGGTAGCCAGGAACTCAATCTAGTCTTCCACAGGGGTGGTGGGGACCCAAGTGCTTGAGCTATCACTTAAAGTCTCCAGGGTGTACGTTAGCAGGGAGCTGGAGTCAGAAATGGGGGTGGGACTTAAACCCAGGCACTTTGATTTGGGAAGCAGACACCCCAAGTGGCACCTGAACTGCTATGCTGAACACCTATCCCTGGAATAACTTCTTATGAGCAAGGGGGTTAAGGTTTTTGTCTGCTACTGGCCTCTTCCACATTTGTTAAATGTCTGTTTTCTCACCAAGGGAGAAAATACAAGATTTGACAGCTGATTAGATGTGGGTGATGAGAAGGAAAAATGGTGTTAAAGATAATATACGGGGCCTCAGAGCCTGTGAAGAACGGGGAGTCCCTTTGAACAAAAATAAACAAAACAGAGGCAGAGCCAAGGAAATGACATACGGGAAGGTGAAGACTGATGCTGAGGGAGGGCACAGGTCCAGTCAATCTCTTAGGGCTCAAAGACAGAATCAAAAACCAAAGAAAGCCAGAGAAGGAGGAAAAGACTCATCCGAGGCAACAGGAGTGACATGGGAGAGAAACCAAGAGAGGGCCAAGCCTTGGGGAAACGCCAGATTTAGAATCAGGGCAGAGGGGAGGCCAACAAAGATGGTATGGAAGTACTAGACAGGTGAGAGCAGGGGCAGGGCTTGAAGGGAGCTGGGAAGGCCTGGGGGCAGCAGTGGAGGCACCTCCTTTTGCAGAAAGATCTATGACAGTTGGCACAAAAATGACTGGAACCCATCAGGGACCCTCAAAAACAAAAGCTACCAGATTCTTCCTCTTGTTTGGCTGATTTGCCAAACAAGCAAGAAAGTAAGCAAGCAAACAAATATCTACTTCCTGGCTACTTATACAAGATTATTCATCTTCCAAATTACTTACTATTTTACTCTCCTGGTTATCTTAGAAAAATTTCTTGCTGATCCATCATTAGATTTCGATTACTGGAAGTAAACTGAGGCAGCAGATTGAAAACATGGTCTTTATTTGATTGGGCTTTTTGGTGTATCCTATAACTCTTAGGCAAACAGAGCACAAGGCATATACTTTGCCTGCAACCGTTTAAGTGCAGCAGGATGCAAACCAGAAGGGTACCATTCCCCTAGCATGAGAGCGAAACCAGAAGCACACACACCTGCCCAACTGTGGGCTCTGGCACTCACACACATGCTCCATCTACAAGCTAGAGGTTCCGTTTTAGTCCAGGAGCCGAAAGGAACAAACTTTAAGCTCAATTTTATTTTCAGTGCCTAAAGGAAAAATGGCTTGTTCTGTCTTCAAGACAGAACCTGTAGGTGCAGGCAATTTGGTGTGGCAGTTAAAGGGCCCATATGCCCATATTGGACTGCCTCGGTTTGAGTCCCAATTCCACTCCTGATTTTGCGAACACACACCCTGGGAGACAGCAGGTGGTGGCTCAGTTACGGGGGTCCCTGCTGTCCACTGGAGAGTCCTGACTGGAGTTCCTGGCTCCTGGCTTCAGCCTGGCCCAGCACAGGCTGTTGCAGCAATTTGGGGAGTGGACCAGCAGATAGAACCAATGGATGGGAACTCTGTCTCTCTGCTTTTCAAATAAATAAAATCAATTAATTAAAAAATAAGCCATTCACCTGTTCATTTTAAGTGCAATATATTATCATTGGAAGGCACTCTGTTCCCTCCAGTTTTAAATGAAATTATGAGGGGGGGAGCACTGTGGAGCAGTGGGTTAGCCCACTGCTTGGGAGGTCCCTCATCCCAGAAAGTCTTGGTTCAAGTCCTTGCTACTGCACTTTTGATCCAACTTTAGGCTAATGCATTGTGGGAGGAAGTGGAAGATGGCTCAAGTTGCTTGGGCCCCCGCCACTCATGTGGATGGAGTTTCAGACTAGAATTTTGACATGGCCCTCCCTGTCCTAGCTGTTGTGGGCAATTTGGGAAGTGACCTATCAGATGGGAGATCTCTGCCTCTATGCCTTTCACACTGGTGAACATAAACAAATACACATTAAAAAATGTTCATAGGAAAAATGGGAGAAAGGAGGCAGAACAAAGAAACAAAGAGGACGGAGAGTTGCAATGAAATTTTATAATTTAAAAGGCCGTGTAAGTGCATCTGACAGTGTCGTCATTAAAATGGGATCCAAAATAGACAAAGGGGAAAGAGTGGCAGCAAAGCAAAGTGAAGCCCAAGTCACCTGGGTGCCCCAGCGGGACTGTCCACCTGGCCCTAGCCATCAGATCAGCTAAAGAGACTACAGAGGCTGCCAACACCACAGGAACCATGTGCCCTCCACGTTCGATGATCTCCCTGTGGCTAGCGCCACTGTGAATCACCCAAAATGATTTTTAAGCCTGGATCAGCTCTCCCTGAGGAGACATAGAAATATATCTGAGCTCTCTCTCCCCCTTCCCTGCTAACTGCCTACTGCATGGCTGATACGAGCTTAAGGGACACACAATCGTTTCAGTATTTGCCATAAAGTATAATTAGGAAGTCAAATTTGTAACTGCACAAAATACTTCAATTAATATTATTTTAAACAAACACAAGTGCTATTTACATTATCTACTGATGAGGACTACCCACACCACTGCTTTCTAAGACCCCTCCTTATATGGGCAATGCGGGCTGGCCACCCAATGGCAGATCCCAGTACAGCAATGAAAATCACGTGCAAAACGTTGTGTTGAGCAAGCAGCTTTTAGCTACCTTATCTAGACCAGGCTTATCCTTTGCACTGTTAGCATGGCTTAAAAATCTATCTAGGATGACCACGTTACCCAAAACAAACAAAACCTGTAAGTTTCGAATATGCCTGTCCCTTTTAGTGGATTAGCTGTACTCACTTTTCACGCCAGACCAGTCTAGCCTCTTACCTGCTTCCTCACGGTTGAGCTACGCCTGTGGTCGATCCCACCAAGTCAGGACCCATACAGCAACAGAGACGAAAAAGAGAAAATTGGGACACAATAAGACAAATGACCATTTTAAAACCCAGAAGTAAAGTTTTTAATAATTAATCTCTGTGGTGGTTGATAAAGAAAGTCACATTATTCAGCTCTGTCCCAGAAATGGCTAAGAGACTTGGTAAGCTACTTCTCAGATAAAGCTCAGTTAAGTTCTTCCTTCACAACTGAGCAGAGAGAGCCTGCTTATTTAAGATCTACCACCATTCAAAAATCTGAATAGGAGAACTGGTTCAGCCTGCAGTAAAATACATCTGGGTTACACAACAAAAACATGGATTTGTAAGGAGACACTGGTAAACACCAAGGGATACAAACGTTTTCTTTCTCTTGGAAATCCTTAGGAAAAAGAAAGGGAGCAATTTTTCCAGATTTAGAGGGTAGAACATCCAGACTGGAAGGAACTGGGGATTCTTTGGGTCAGTGTCTTCAAGCTGAGCGTAGCCTCAGAAGACTTTTCACAAAGGGAATCAGACCCAGAGGCACAAGGCCCCAAACAAGGAGGAGAGCACTGTGCTGCTTCGAGTGAAGGTAGGGACCAGAGCCTGGCTACTGGGCCTTGCCCTGCCACTGCCACCAGGCCACTCCCAAGGAAACTCTTGGGAACCCTGGAGCACCTCTGATTCAGTGTAATGCTCCTATCTTATAGAAGAGGAACTCAGAGCTCAGAAAGGGGAAAAGAGCAGCCCAAGGTGACTCAGTGGAATAATCTCAGTCTTTTCAGTCCCACAGAGCCTGCTGCAGCTACAGGAGCTCAGGTGCTCACCCTTAAATCAAGACTATCATCAAGAAGAAACATCCCAGGGCCAACATTGTAACGCAGTAGGCTGAGCCTCTGCCTGCTGTGCCAGCATCCCCAAATGGGCACCAGTTTATGTCCTGGCTTCTTCTCTTCCACTCCAGCTCTCTGCTTGTGGCCTGGGAGGGCAGTAGAGGATGGCCCAAGTGTTTGGGCCCCTGTACCTGCATGGGAGACCAGAGGAGGCTCCTGGCTCTGGATCGGCCCAGCTCCAGCTATTGCAGCCATTTGGGGAGTGAACCAGTGGATGGAAGGTCTTTCTCTCTGTCTCTCCCTCTCTCTGTCTGTAACTCTGCCTCTCAAGTAAATAGATAAAATCTTAAAAAGAAGAAGGAGAATGGGAAGGGGAAGGGGAGGAGGGGGAGGAGGGGGAAGAGGGGGAGGAGGGAGAGAAAGAGGAGGAGGAAGAAGAAGAAGAGGCTGGCGCCAAGGCTCACTAGGCTAATCCTCCACCTGTGGCGCAGGCATCCCAGGTTCTAGTCCCGGTTGGGGTGCCAGATTCTGTCCCGGTTGCTCTTCTTCCAGTCCAGCTCTCTGCTGTGGCCCGGGAAGGCAGTGGAGGATGGCCCAAGTCCTTGGGCCCTGCACCCGCATGGGAGACCAGGAGGAAGCACCTGGCTCCTGGCTTCAGATCGGCGCAGCGCACCAGCTGCAATACACTGGCCGTAGCGGCCACTTGGAGGGTGAACCAACGGAAAAAGGAAGACCTTTCTCTCTGTCTCTCTCTCTCACTGTCCAACTCTGTCCCCCCCCCCCCCAAAAAAAAAAAAAAAGAAGAAGAAGAAGAAGAAGAAGGAGAAGGCCTGGGTACACTCAAGCTTCGGCTTCACCCGGAACCCACCACCATGGCGGAGGAAGGCACTGCTGCTGGAGGTGCAATGGAGACTGACACTGCTTTACAAGAGGTGCTGAAGACCCCTCATCCACGATGGCCTGGCAGGTGGAATCTGTGAAGCTAACAAAGCCTTAGACAAGTGCCAAGCCCATCTTTGTGGGCTTGCACATAACCAGAATAAGCCTATGTGTGTCAAGCTGGTGGAGGCCCTTTGTGCTGAACACCAAATCAACCAAATTAAGGTTGATGACAACAAGAAACTTGGAGAATGGGGTGGCCTGTGTAAGACTGGGAGAGGAAACCCCATAAAGCAGTCAGCAGAACTACGGCAAAGAACTCAGGCCAAGGAAGTCCTCAAAGAACATTTCAAATGCAAGAAATGGACAAATAAATTTGGCCCACATTAAAAAAAAAAGATACATTCCTCAGAATTCCAATATCCTGGTTCCCTCCACTCATCAAGACTGGTATATTAATGGAATCTTTATTGTAGTCCACAATGACAAAATGATGAAAGCAAATGAAGCTCTCTCTAAATAACGAGCCATAATTGTAAAGGGCCTCATGACCACTGTGTATGTTGGCAGATACAAATGGTTGATATAATGGGCTAAGCCAGGGTCTCCACGGCATGTGGCCCATTACGGCTCTTTCTCCAGTTAAATCAGCACATTTTTAGGCATCTGAGAACTGTTGGCTGAATGAATGCTTTGCTCTTTGCCAGCTCACGAGTTTTCTCATAGCAGCTTCATGACTGGGAAGGAAAATATTTGGCTGGGCTGAGAAGGAAGGGAAGGTGGGGGAATACTGGGAGGGTTGCATACTTGTACATCAGGCAAGGATTTTTACCACCGCTATTTGGCAAGACAAGAAATACAACGTAATATTTCATTATCCAGCAACAGTCACTGGTTAGGAGCTGTCATCTTTTCTGTCTCCTGATCTTCTCAGAGACTTCCCAAGCCCACTTGTTGAAGTCTGGCAGCGAAGGTTAGGTTACAAGTGGCTTTGGGGAATATTTCAACAATGATAACTCCTTTCACGCGGGTCCGTTGAGCTCTTTCCCTAAGTTGCAGTGAACCCCACTTCCATTTGAGACCAGATGGGGTCAGTAAGGCAAAAGGAAGGAAGCAACCCCAACCCCTTGGCTCTTCCCCAGGGCTGGGATCACAGTACTCCACCAGCCTCCCTTTCTCCCTTCCCAGGCCACACCTACCTGGCCAGACTGCAGTCTGTCCGCTGACCTGTTGGAAAGACAAAGGCAAAAAGCATATGTTGAAGCAGGAGGGGTGAAGGGGGAAGATCTACTCCTAACAACGACCATGCCCTGTTCATCATCCCAGGGAGCCACTAGCGAGAAAGAAGAAATGCACTGAAAGCCTCTCTCAAGGCAGGAACTGATTCTGATGCTGGCACCCAGTCCACGGTTGCTGGCATTCCTAAACCTTAGGTTTATCAACTGATTCTCAAACGGGAGTGGCTACAGGGAACACTAACAAAGCAAGTCATATTTTATAGAACACATCATTAGAAGTTTTCAGAGATTCAGAGAGACGAAATTTAGCTGTTCTTATATGTATTCTGGGGAGGGGGCAAATTTGCTTGCTCCTGAGTACATGAACACACACAAACACACACTTCAGGTTGGGAGGAGAAGAAGGAAAAGGAGTTGCTTTGGGAGAGAAAGGAGAAGATGTGGATGTTTTAGTTTTAGATACATACTATATTCTATATTAATTGGGTCTGAAGTAGCAAGAGATAGATGTCATTTAATACTACTAACAAATTAAGGTTCTCAATCCAATAATAGGCCCTAAATAGTTTTATAGGTCATAGCCAGCTTCAAAAAATGAAATTGAGGGGCTGGCATTGTGATACAGTAGGTTAAGCCACCATGTGCAGTGCTGGCATCCATATGGGCACCAATTCGAGTCCTGGCTGCTCCACTTCTAATCCAGCTCCCCTCTAATGTACCTGGGAAAGCAGAGGAGGATTGGCCCAAGTACTTGGGCCCCTGCACCCACATCAGGGACCCAGATGAAGCTCCTGGCTTCGGCTTGGCCTACCCCTGGCCGCTGTGGTCATCTGGGGAGTAACCAACAGATTGAAGACCTCTAGCTTTTCTTCTCTCTGTAACTCTGTCTTTTAAATAAATAAATAAAGGGCCGGCGCTGTGGCCTGGCGGGTAAAGCCGCCACCTACACTGCTGGCATCCCATATGAGCGCTGGTTCGAGTCCTGGCTGTCCTCTCCTGATCCAGCTCTCTGCTATGGCCTGGGAAAGCAGTAGAAGTTAGCCCAAGTCCTTGAGCCCCTGCGTCACATGGGAGACCCAGAAGAAGCTCCTGGCTCCTGGCTTCAGATTGGCCCAGCTCTGGCTGTTATGGCCATTTGGGTTGTGAAGCAGTGGATAGAAGACCTCTTTCTCTGTCTCTACCTCTGCCTCTCTGTAACTCTGCCTCTCAAATAAATAAATAAATAAGTTAATGAAGCTTGATCGGTATTAGACTCATATTAGATAAATAAGGGGCAGACCTCAGCAGGCGTTGAGCCAGAGAAGGAGAGTTCAGCTCCCAGACTCCTCAGTCAAGTTCCTGGAAAGGCAACTCCAAGGGCGGGGGAGGGCAGGGTTTTTTTTCTTGCCTTTAGAGGTTGCTAATTGTTGATTACAGTTCAGCTCATCTCAAGCAACACCATCCCCCACCCCTAACAGTCTCTCGTTACCAAAGTCTCAGCTTTCATCTGCAAAAATATTATTCAGAGCTATTATTTTCAACATCTGTCCCATTTCCATTCTGGAATATTCATATACATCAATTATCGCTCTGTGGCAAGAACAGGGGATCCTGCATTATGGTGACAAATGCATCCAGAAGGCCCAGGGACAGCATGACTTGCACACAGGAAGATTTAGTTTTTTTTTTTTCTTAATTGCTAGAACTTGTCATCTTTAAGATTTGACAATTTGGGGCACTAATGAATGGTCAACCTTCTGCCCTCTATCCATAATAGCACATCGGGTGCTGATATGTGTATGAGCAAAGCCATGCACACATGTGTGTCCCAGCACCCTGCTCTGTCTTAGGGATTGTTCTTAGACGGTCTTGACAACAAGAAATCACAGCTATAACTTGCTTCAGAGAGCTATGAGCTGTTTCTCCATTTCCTCATGGAACAATCTGATAACCCAAGAGTAAAGATTTTCTATAAGCTAAGTTTGGCTCTCAATGGCCGAACCTGTTTAGTCTGAGTCCCTCGGATGGTGGGGAGGGAAGAGAACAGAAATTACTTAAAGGGCATTCTTCACATGAAATCAAATGCCTAAATAGCACAGGATCAAAGATGGTAGAGAAAAAAGAATCAATCATCCGGGGGAACTGTTCAGAGTAGGAAAAGGACAGAGCAAAAAGTTGGGTAGAAGGTTCTGGTATGAAAGTGGGACCAATGGGGCCAATGAACCAGTGAGTACTGTACGCTGTTCTATATCCTATGGTTTGCTGGAAGATTGCTCAAGGATTTATTTAAAATGTTAGACATCTGCCTAAGTGCAGGCTTGTCTGTCACTGATGTTACTACACATTCCCTGTAGCCTCTCTCTTCTTCTCTCACATCTTTAAGTGAGGAGATTAGTGGGGCAGGGAGGAGGGGCTGGGCACTGCGAGGCATCCCTAACCTGGGGATTCCATTAATCATGGATGCTAAGAGCCAGGCAGGAGCCCTGGGCTAGGTGCCAGAAAACCCTGGGGAAGCTTCTCTTTCAACCTTAGCCTTCTGTTTGACAGCCAAGGAGAGAAAGTCCAGAGTGCCAGTCCCGTTCTCTGTCTTGCTACTTTCCAGGGTCTGGTTAAAATCACCCTGTGAGATGAGACAGTCCACTCAGCACCGTGGCCTCAGCACAGCACAGCCGTGAGAGGGCTGCCACCTAAGCTGAGTCAGGACCCTTGAAAGCAGAGGAAACAGATGCCCCACCCAGAAGCTAAAGCGAGCAGCAGTCTGTCCATCATGCGTTTGAGGGTCCTCAGCCCTCCTCCGAGCAGCTGGACACCTCATCTCACGGCTCCCTACCTAACTTAACAAAGTGTTCGGAAAATAAATAATCCCTTAGCCCCTTTACCCCAGCCGCCACAGAGGAGGCGAAGGAGGGGGGCTGGGTGGAGAGCAGGCACGCTCCATTTAAACCAATAGATGATGCACATTAGTGCTTCATTAAGCATTGGCCTTTCCCCATTACTCAAGCAGTCACTGGGGGCGTGGGCTTTCACATCAAACAAGCCAGGAAAAGAAATGCATTCCTATAACCAGATCAGATCCACTTGGCTGCAGACAGAGGAGAGTGCCCAGCGACGAAGCTCCGCGGGCCCTCCCCTGCTGCCAAGCCTCCAGCAGAGGGTTCCCACACTCACTTTCTCCCAGGGTTTTCTGCAGGAGGTCGTGCTTGGCTTGCAGCTTCGTGATGAGGTTCCTGCCCTCCAGGTACTCCTTCATTTTCTGCAAGGGAGGAGGAGGAAAGAAAGAGTGATCAGAATCCTGAAGGAAAAAGGGTCATGGATGCTCCACCGGACAAATCCCTTGTCAAGAAGTCATTTGGTTTCTGACCCAGTTTCCAACACGTCCACTTCTTGTTTCTTTAAGCTGCCTGTGGCCAGCTGCTGATTTCATGGTGGATTAACACCCCGCTCCATGTTTTCCTGGGAGCTCCATGTTGGGCCAATGCAAAGAAACAGACTGGGGGAGCCCCTCATCTCTCCCCTTAGTTCCTCTAAAGAACTGGGGGGAGGGGGCGGTGGATGCATTCACAGAGGATACACACCTGCTGCTTGCCACCTCTGCTGACATCCGTACCATCCACCTGAGCCATTCCCAGGGTGCATTCCATCAGTCCAGGAGCAGTGCCAGTGGCAGGCTCCAGCCCCTGCCTCAGCTGCACGCACAGCATCTTTGTGCTGTATCCTAATCAGCCTCCATCTCTGTTCCGCACGGAATCATCACAGAAAGCGCTCAGAGGGAGGGGCTGCCACCTCCCACTCGCACACACACACAGACAGTTCTAAAGACAAGTGAGATTTTGGAAACGCAATCTCACCTGCTCTAACTGACCAAAAATTATTGTGAGGCTGCACATTCAGATTGGACCTTTCTTAACCCTTGTGTGCCCAGTGAGAAATCATGTTTCCCTGACAAATCATCAAATCTTCAAAGCAACCCCATGCACTGTTATTATCATTATGCCCATCTCATGAATGAGAGCACTGAGGTTTCTAGAGATTAATTAATTTGTTCAAGGTCAAGCAGTTAGCAAGGAATGGAGTCGGTATCCAGATACACGCAGTTAGCCTTGGCAACTCATGACAAGAGCCTGAGGTGATTACTGATGCCATAAACAAGAGTGTCAATTTGTTAAGTCAACAACAGGAATCACTGTGCACTTACTCCTCATGTAGGATCTCTGTCCTTAATGTGCTGTACATTGTGATTTAATGCTATAACTAGTACTCAGATAGTATTTTTCACTTTGTGTTTCTGTGTGGGTGCAAACTGTTGAAATCTTTACTTAATATATGCTAAACTGATCTTCTGTATATAAAGAGAATTGAAAATGAATCTTGATGTGAATGGAAGGGGAGAGGGAGCGGGAAAGGGGAGGGTTGTGGGTGGGAGGGAAGTTATGGGGGGAAGCCATTGTAATCCATAAGCTGTACTTTGGAAATTAAATTCATTAAATAAAAGTTAAAAAAAAAAAAAGAAAACATGGTATGTGCTCTTAATCTTTAAGATAGAATGTTCCACTATTTTGGTATAGAGCAAAAGAGGGAGAGAAGTGGAAGTCAACATCATAGCACTGATTATTTTTATATGTCTAGCAACCTAAGTGTCTTTAGAGCACTTTAGTACATATTCTCTCATTTGACACATGACAACTCTGTAAAACGCCTAAGGCAGACATTATTATTTCCCCATTACAGATGAGACGATGATCTCAGGGTGAGGGGGTGTCAAATAAATTGCTGAACCTTGAAAATTAGTGACAGTGCCAAGCCTGGAGCCCCAGCCTTTGAACTCAAGACAGTGTCTTTGGGGCTGGCATTGGGGTGTAAGGGGTTGAGGTGTCACCTGCAATGCCGGCATCCCATATGTGTGTGGTTTTGCGTCCCATCTGCTCCACTTCCAATCCAGTTCCCTGCTGGATTTTCCCTGCCTGGGAAAGCGGCAGAGGATGGAGCAAGTCCTTGGGCCCTTGCACCCACGTGAGGCCCAGGTGAAGTTCCTGGCTCCTGGCTTTGGCTTGGCCCAGCCCTGGCTGTTGTAGTCATTTGGGGAATGAAGTGGCAGATAGAAGATCTCTCTCCGCCCCTTCTTTCCCATAACTCTGCCTTTCAAATAAATAAAATAAATCATTTTTAAAAATGGCATCTTTCCCACTCTCCCTATAGCCACTCTTAGGGATCTTGGTTTCCTTTGGTTATCTCAAGCTGCAAGGGTTCATTTGCTACATTAGGGATCACCTGCCCATGTCTAAACTCAGAGGCCAATGGCAGGGTTTCCCAGAGTGTAATCACAAGCAGTGGTAAGACAGGAGACATCTAAGGCAGTAAATGGGTAAAATATTTTAAAGTAATAGTTCTGTCCATCTTTTAGTATGCATTAAACAAAAACATAGAATACCCAGGGCCAGGCCAGGCTGAAGCCAGGAGCCAAGCACTCCATCTGGGTCTCCCATGTGAATGGCAGAGTTAAGTATCAGCAGGAAGCTGGATTTGGAAGCAGTCAGGACTCGAACCAGGCACTCTGCTGTGGGATGACAGGTGACACAAGTGGCATCTTAACTGCTCTGCCAAAGTCTGTCCTTTCAGTGTGAACTTCTAAGAGCCTATACTTAACTCTCTGGTTCTCATTAAAAACAAAGGAAAAATTCTGCTTTCTTGGAGATGTACTTTCTGGCCCTCCCACGCTCATCCAGATGCTCCTGTGTGTCCCTTGCAAATCTCCATGACAGCACTTCTCACACGCCTCTGTTACCAAGGGTTTGTCATTCACAGGTCTTTGTCTCTAGGATGTCTCTGCTGCGTGGCCAGAGATCATGTCATTCTTGATTCTTTGCATCTCTGATGCTTAGCACCATGCCTAGCAGACAGCAGACACTCGTTAAATGCATAAAGAATGATAAATAAACATGTCAATCTCACTCTCTGAACAAAACCTTCCCCAGCAGTTATGAACTATGCATCTAGGCATGTCCCTACCCTGCATATTAAATAGGAAGTGAGCCCCACACCAACTTTCCCTGCTGCCTCACTCAGGACTGCTTCCCTCTGCTCCTTTGTGCTTCTGCATGAGAACATCTGCATGAGAAGAGGCTCCTCTGTCGCCTTCCCCCTCCATCTGCTCCAGCTGCCAGTTCACCTGAGTGATATTTTAATCCCTAACCAAGGCCTAATTGTAGGCTTGGAACGGTGCTTTAGGGCCCAGAGGTGAAAACCCTTCAGGAAACATCCATTGCTAATAACATAACCCTCAAAGGCCTCTCTTTGGAAGGTTATCCTGGGAGACTCTAGAGATTTCCTAATGAGGAAAATTCTCCAAGAAACTGTAACCCTCAATACAAGACCAGACTGCTCAGAAAACAACCGAAGTTCTGAAAGGAGACGGACGCCAGTTCCTTCCTCTTGCTCTTGTTTCTGCTTCTGATTCCGGAAATAATTTTTTTTTTTTCATTTGTGTTCACAGTTCACTACTTAACTCTGGCTGTCACTCAGTAAACCATTAAAATAAATAACAATCTGATAAGGAGGTAAGATGGATTACCTTTTCGGGTTCCATTAAATCCTGCGGGATCAAAGCTGTGTCAAGGTATGACTTGCATCCCTAATATCGTGTGGAAACAATGGTTGGAAGGTTTCCATCCAGTGAGCCAGGCACAGGATGGTAAAGGCCTCCTGGAGTTTGCAGGCATGTTATTTATCACTTCCCTCTCTTGCCCGTTAGGCAGCACTCATCTCCGTAAGAGAGAGGCTGGGGATATAAATCACCTTTCTTTATCAGTGGAGCTGAGCTAGGAGGCTTTGGTTGCTGCTGGACAGACACACAGAGAAGGGAGCAGAGGCAGCCAGCTGAAGGCAAGAGAGGAAGAGGTGGCTTTGTAATGATGTTTTGGAGACCAGGGGGCCAGGAAAAGAGCTCTTTGCATGTAATCTCAAAATGCTTTCCTTGGGCAAGGAGGGTCACTTGCTTTATTTCAAGAATGTCCCAATATCGGGTAATTATCTGTCATTCCACTCCCTACTTCCCTCACCAAAACCCAAAAGTTAAGTAATTATGTGGCATTTTCACTTGACCTGGGGATTTTATTTCACCAAGATCAAGTAAACTCCTAAAACACAAGTCAGTACTGTCAGAACAGAATTTCAGGGGCCCGTGCTGAGGCGTAGCAGGCTAAGCCTCCGCCTGCAGCACCAGCATCTCCCACGGGAGCTGGTTCGTTTCCCAGTTGCTCCTCTCCTGATCCAGCTCTCTGCTATGGCCTGGGAAAGCAACAACACCGGTGTGGCAGACCAGGAAGAAACTCCTGGCTCTTGGTTTCGGACTGGCCCAGGAGTGAACCAGCAGGTGGAAGAGCTTTCTCTCTGTCTCTCCTTTACCTCTCAAATAAACAAATAAAATCCTAAAAACAAACAAACAAACGAAAAACAAACTCAGAATTTCCACAAAAGGTAGGAAGGAAAAGGGTTTTTTTTGTTCTTGTTTGTTTCTGCCATTGTAAAACTGCAATTCTGTTTTCATAATTTCATAGTAATTCCTAATTGGATTAACTATCAGCGATGAAGTTTATTTATTGAAAAGTACTAATATGGCCGGCGCCGCGGCTCACTAGGCTAATCCTCTGCCTTGCGGCGCCGGCACACCGGGTTCTAGTCCCGGTTGGGGCGCCAGATTCTGTCCCGGTTGCCCCTCTTCCAGGCCAGCTCTCTGCTGTGGCCAGGGAGTGCAGTGGAGGATGGCCCAGGTGCTTGGGCCCTGCACCCCATGGGAGACCAGGAAAAGCACCTGGCTCCTGGCTCCTGCCATCGGATCAGCGCGGTGCGCCGGTCGCAGCGCGCTGGCCGCGGCAGCCATTGGAGGGTGAACCAACGGCAAGGAAGACCTTTCTCTCTCTCTCTCTCTCTCACTGTCCACTCTGCCTGTCAAAAAAATAAATAAATAAAAATAAATAATAAAAAAAAGAAAAGTACTAATAGAATAATTTTTCTTTTTCTCCATGACATTTTTGTTGTAGTAAAATGAAAAGGTTTGGGTTGGAATAGTCTAGTCCCACCACTTAGTAACCCTTCTAACCTTGGGCAAATTACTTAACCCCCACTGAATCTTAGTTTTTCTATTTGAAGAATGAGGATAATGTATTTTTCATGACATTGAGGTTTTAATAGGATAATAATGTGATTAGCACAAGGTCCAACATATAGCACGTAATCAAAAGTTTTTCCTTACACCTG